GTCAGACTCCCTTTGCCACCAATAACAAAATTTGGTCCTAGGGACTATCCACCACCACTCAGCGAATCCGAAAGTTCCCTGACCAGAATTACACGCTGCACACTCTCTCAGCTACCCTCTGAGTGGAGTCGCCAAATAAATCACTATATATATATGGCACGCCGTGACCCGGGGATAAGGGAAATATGCCCCGAATGCGGGGCCGGCCCGCATAACGTCCCACATCTATCCATCTGTCCAGCCAAACCAACACACTTAATCATAAGGGACCTATGGGAGAAACTGCGGTGTTCCTATGTCTTCAAGCACAGACGGACGAAGGGTGTTAACAACAACACGAGCATTCGATTTCGCCTGCTCAGCTTAACGTCTTTGATCGGTTTGAAGTGGATTTCAGTGAATGTATTATCAATCAGAGAAGTAAGCATCGGGCAAGAGGGCTGATGCAATCCGCAGCATGTAGTCAACACAGTAATAAATCAATTCAAATATTCGGATCGAATGGTAAATTATTCGAATCGTTTCATTCAAAAATTCATATTGTGACATTTATTTTGCACTCACGAAAAAAATAACCTATTTTTCTAACTCAAGTCGACGATCCTATCGGCCAAGGCCCAAGATTGACACAAATTTGGTCGAGTGTCGGTGGTTTTCAGGAATCAAAATAAGTTGCCGCATTTGGTAAAGACAGTTAATCATATTTGGCCGAAATATTGCGAGGCATTGTTGAAAATATATTGAGCAAGGACAAGTCCGGACTGATATAAAACCGGTAACAGAACATCAAGATTTTGTAATTGAAAATGGTTCTCGCACAGAATAAACACACTGGCTCATATTTGGTAGTAATTAAATTGAGAATATTGAACTGTTAAAAACAAAAAAAAACGATCGTCGAAATTCTTAAATTTCGTTGCCTTGGTTAAATATAATCTAATGATAAGGACATTTTCAATTAAATACTGCACAAAGATAGTTATACATTAAACATTTAGGCCACAATTTAGCTTTTTTTTTAAATTCCAATCATGCATTGTGGTGGAGAAATCCCACTATTTAAATACGGGTAACTATAAAAATAGAATAGGATTCTGGATTCGATTTAAGTATTCTAAAACAGTGGTTCCCAACCGCCGGTCCGCGGACCGTCAGCGGTCCGCAAAGGATTTTTACCGGATCGCGGGAAATCCCGTCATATTGTTGTTTCTCTGCCGTCTCAATCGCTTTACCGATGCCGAAAAGATGTAGTTGCGTTGGTTCATTACGCAGTTTCTCTTCCGTCGTCATATTGCTGATTTTTACCGGATCGCAGGAAATCCCGTCATATTGTTGTTTCTCTGCCGTCTCAATCGCTTTACCGATGCCGAAAAGACGAAGTTGCGTTGGTTCATTACGCGACATTAATTATCACGAGGACGTATTGGCAAGAGAGTGAAAAGTGAGAAAAACGGCTGCAAATACCGAAGCTCTAACTTCTTCTACTTTTTAAACTTCCACTTTTTACAACCGACGGAATTGACTGCTTTGAAGAGAGCTCGTTTCAATCGCAAAAGCGCTCGACCAATAAGTACGACTTTACGTAATTCGTAACTTCCCTTCCCTAACTCGAAATAATTCCGTAAATCTGTAAATTACGTGCAAGCCTAATTTGAAGATCTCGTTTTCCTCTACTTTGTAATTTTGTTTTTGACAAATGAAAAGATAAGACATCCCCCGAAAATAAGCCCCAGTGTTATTTTTCGGAAGAAAATTGAAATAAGACCCAGTCTTATTTTCGGGGAAACACGGTAGTGTGATGAATTTTTCTCGAACATCGATCCCAGAAAAATTCTCCCTGTACTTCACTAATGCAAAATGTTTGATGTTAATTTTGAGAGTGTTGGTGCTTGCAGCTTGCAAACTGGTTCACATGTTCAAAACCATCTTTTTTTCCTAAAAAATTTCAACCACGTGCCTTACAGGTACCAATGTTATATTTTTAACCTACTCAATCGCAGATTTTCCCGGACTAATTTCCGGAAATTAAAACCAAGCTAAAGCTCCTCGGAAGACAAAATGAAAATGGCACTCCAGAAGTATGTGCACCAAGATGGCGGACACCAAGACGTCGTATTTGTAGCAGGTTAGGGTTATGCCCTAATTTTAGATACAAATACTACGGGAGTCAACGAACTCGAAATAGAAATAAAATTGAAATAAAATTATGGCCTAACCCAAACCTGGTACACGTACGACGTTCCGGTGTCCGCCATCTTAGTGCACATACTTCTGGAGTGCCATGAAAATTAGGTTATTTGATTAGGCTACAACTATATTTTGAAAGACTATGTTTCAAATGAATTAATATGATTTATAAGAATTTGCCACAAATTCGGTTGCAAAGAGTTTGTTGGACGTACCCAAAAGCGCAAAGTGGTAAAGTCTCTACCACACACTGAATTTCGAAAGTTGCAAAATAAGCTGAATATTATTGGGTTTTGCCGTTGGATTCTCTGAAAGAAAGAGAGAGAAGTATGTTAAAGAAGAGCAGTATACAATCGAGATAATGGCAACACGCATTTTTAATTAAGACACCCCCGCTGATTCTGCAGCCGTCGAGTTCGGCTTAATATAGACAAATGTGGTAGTCTACGTCTTAGTGATTACCATTATAGCAGCCGCGAATCACTTTTCACCCTTGCCTATTTCAAATTTTTTCCCAACACATTGCACCTCTACAACACTAGCTTAAACAAACTGCGTTAGATAAGACGCGAGTTGCTGGTTTCAAAATTTTCAACCAAAAGTCGCAATACGACACTTTTCTTTAATATTTGCAGCCTCTTGTGACGGTGCAATATCGATGATATCCGTACTAAAGATGTATCGATACCACTTTTTCGCCGATACTGATACCGATCCGATACCAGCTAAAAACGCCGATACCGATATGCCGATACTACAGAAAAGCCGATATTCCGATACCGATACTATGTAATTATTACTTAATTAGGTGTGCTGTGTAGGGCAGACGGGTTAAAACAATGGTCTTTGAGCGTTGTTCATAGCACACATTATTTCAGATCGAAAAAGAGATATCTCACATAATATGAAATTGATGTTTGGTATCCAGATGCTTTAACTGATTAAGATACATTGTACAGTGACGCTAGTAATCTCGGTGTTCAATTAGGAAAATCATAAGCCGTGATGTCCAATTCGAATTTATTGTTAATATCGCGACCTTCGAACATCGTTGTTCGTGTTTAAGCGTTTTAGCAGGGTTAAAAGAATATCGGATACACATTCTAGCGCCGCCGTCCTTCGTTCAAATCAAAAGCATTTTAGAAATATTTTATTTTGTGGTTAATCGTAATCGTCGCGGCAATACAACAAAGCCAACGTGAAAGAATATCAATCAGCACGGACAAGAAGAAGGCCCACCTATAACCGTCAAGGATGTTTTTTTACTTTACTTATTTATAATATTTTACAATTGCTACCGTATATTTTGAGACAATCTAGTCCAGGCGGTCATGTCTAAATATCTATAAAAAAAATTGTGTAGTTAAACAAAATTAAAATTGATACCTGCGTAGACTGATAATTGTGTCGGAATTTAGTTTATCGATGTCGACGGACCAAATGACAGTCGTACTTGACGACAAACAGTCAAGAATTTATAGCCGTGCCAAAAGTGCATGTGTCGTTAATAAAGACTCCAATTTCACTGTATGATTTAAAACTGGGCGCCTAGTTGCTTTTTGTTATGTGCTGTGTTGATATATTTCTTCATAATTACTATGTAATATTAAAAATGTCAATATAAAAATTTGACAGCGAAAATAGTCAAATTAGTTGAGCTAGTTTGGCTGATAAATAGCTCAAAACATTCTGGACCATATCAAAAAGGTAAATATATCGGAAATATCGGCCTCAATCTAACCGATACCGATACATGGCCGATACCGAAAAAATGGACGGTATTGCCGATACCGATACATCTTTAATCGGTACTGCTACCTAAATTACAATGTGCGCTTGTGTGCTGAGTCGCGAATTCCGATGATCTGATGGAACCTGAGTTTGTGAGTTACAGCGGAGTTTTATTATAGTTAGGCTTACCATACGTCGCGTTTTAGGCGGGACAGTCCCACCTTTTAACGAGTTGTCCCGGCGTCCCGACCGGTCAGCCAAAAGTCCCGTTTTAGCTTTCAGCCAGTCAGCATAATACAAGAACAATTGTCATGTTCTCGATACTGTTGTTGGTGTGTAGCGTACCGTTAGCCTATCTACTGGAGGTGGATAGGATAGGATTTACATATTTATCCCGGGGGAGAGGAAAGCCGATAAGACGGCTTATCCATATGGCGAACCACGGCCTCTCGTCCGGTTACCATTCCAAGTCGGGTATGAGATTAGTTATATTGTTTGTTTTCGGAAGCATGGACTTGGTGGTGGAGGAAGCCGACCAGCGGTTACGTGAACCACCCAACGACGGCGAGGAGTCCAGCAATCCTCTCGTACATAACCATCCCTGCATGGGATTCGAACCTGCGAACCCACGAAGAGTAATTAGAGGTGCGGTGGCGAGCGTATTCCTAACGCTTAGCCCGTTGAGCCACACCGCCGCGGTTTTGTTTGTTTCGTTGTTTCTGCTAACAATGTCTACAATTTGTTACGTGTAAACCTCGTGTGCCAAAAGGGTGCTTAACGTTAACGTAAATTCCTATTTTTTAAACTGAAACTGATATTTAGACATATAGAGCATGAACTCTCGATGACAATATGGTCAAGGAAGACAGCCGATATGGTTTTAAATGTAGGCCCCTAATGTAAAATGGATAAATTTGAAGTAGAAAAAATCTTAGCCATGGTCTTTGGAGGCGTCCCACAAAAATATGGTAACCCTAATTATAGTTATCTTTCACTATAAAACTTGTGTCACGCCAATACACTAATGTCGAAAATTCCAAGCCATGAGCAATATGCAACCCTTTGAATTCACACGCAGTCCATTTTATAGAAGCTTTGGACTTCTTATTTTGTTCTCAAATTCAAGTTAATAATGCAATTTGTATAGATATGCTACAGCGGTAGTTATTCACTTGCTAAACACAATATACAGAGTGTAAATGAAATATATGCAAAAAAGGATATCCATCCTAGAGAAATCTCTGACTCAAGGAAATGATGTCAAAATTGGATAAACATATGCTAAAGAGTTTATAAGAAACTGAAATAAAAAATTGATACTGGTATAAGATGTAAAAAAAAAAGATTTTATAACTCGACTGAACAAAACAAATTTTCAGAAAACAGCCAATTATTAACATCATGCCTCGGTTCCATTACATTTGAACCCCGACAATTGCACCTGCATACTATTGCACCTATGGAATTTTTCCTTTACGGATATTTGAACCCATACTAACCCTAACCCATGGTTTTCAGCACCCTCATATAAATTGAACCCGCAGATATACGGGTGCAAATGTACAGTCACATCCAGCCTCAAATTGGATAATACAGATTCCATATTCCACAACCAATCAATTGATTAATAAAAAATAGTTTGGTCACTAACATAAAAGTGTCAACAAACAATATGGGAAATATACATTGCAATTGGAAACAATAAAATGCATCATTTTTCCAAGCAAGTTTTGACGAGGACATATTGGATAATTTTTAAAATTCTGACTGATAAAAAAACACAAAATATACTTTAAAACTGATGAGCAGCTCATTTTATACTTTAATTTATCGCAATAGTTCAACTCTGTTATAATATACTTTTGTTACAATTATTTAGGAAATTCTGCATGATGAAACAAAAATGTTTGCATGAAAAGATAGATGGAAAATCAAGAAATGTATACAACTGTATTGAACTTACGAAAGAAATAAGAAATGCCGAATAATGATATTAATTAGTTTATAAAACAGTGAAACATTCATATATTTAATACAACAAGAGAGCAATGTCAAATATATGGACTCGAAGACCAAAACGAAGTAGCATCAAAACTTTTACAGTACCAGTAGTCTAACCACCAGATTGCTGCGATGTGATCACAGAACAACGGCGTTATCACACAAAACTTAGAAGTAAAAAACGACTACCATTGAGCCTACAGTATTTCTGAAATGAATGAAAATAGCCTTCTAGAAACAACAACAAGCTTTAACCACTCAATATTTCTAGGCAATTGGCCCAGTAGTTGGAAGAGAAAAGCGATTTTTCACAACAACAACATAATAATAATAACAAAATGAACCCATAGGTCAATATCGTGTCCAATAATATTGTATGGAATAAAACTGTATAAATTCTATACAATAGCAGCAGAATCCAAAGCGTGTTGTTGATAAAAGTTGTCCACAATACTCAGAACAACATCAATTGCAGTAGAATATTGATCAATGTCTCGCATGACGATTTCCATAAAACTGAAAAAAAAAAAATTATGGCTCAATTCTTCAATTCAGTTTCCATTCCTGTTTTCATAAAGACATTTTAACTACATCACCACAATCAATTAAGGTTTAACAAGATGTTAGTATATTGAATTGACCTACAAAGAGAAGAATGGTTCTAATTCTATTTTAGAGTTTGTTCATGTTGATGGATTGTAATGGAAAAACGTCTTTCTCCATAATGCCATCAAAAGACTATAACCTGGTTGAAAATGAAGAAACTAATTAATTAGTTGAAATGAAATAATTACATATGATCTTATATAGTACAATCGATCTAACGATTTCTCTCTCTTAGCATGCAAATTCCCAATAAGAACCTATATTCACTCTTTAATAAGTAACCACATTATTTAATTTGCAACTAATCTAACTCACTACCTGGATATCGGGTGATAGAAACATAGATAGGTACCGGTATATGATTCTGATTAAAACAGACTTTAAAACTACATACAGTCAATAAAAATATGGACTCAGAATTCGTTTGCAGGTTTTGGTAGAATGAAAATGATTGGGGGACACTACAATAAAGTAACAGATGATTCAAAATATATGTCATCAACTTGGTCAGGTTGTAATCCTAATTCTTGTTCAGCTATCAGGAATTTGACCAGATGCAAATTCTCTTCATACTATTTCACTCACTCGGGATGATCTGAAGACAATGATTCTGTTTGGAACGTTCTCAAAAAATCGTCATAATATGGAGTTGCCTTCACTGCCAACTGTGGAAAAAATAAGAATCTTATAAGCATTTTAATATCATTTAAGGCTTCTACTATATCTGAAAATAAGATTATTTTCTTACATATCATAAAAATTGAACTCTTACACACTAGGCAACTTGGACATTATCATAAAGGTAATGTACCATGACTGTAAAACAGCGGTATTACATCTGAATTGCATTGTACTATGAATACATACTTACCGCAAAGATTCCTTTTACAACCCAACTGTGATAAGGTTTCAAGGTACTGTTGTAGGCAGAATCTGGATTTAAGAAAAAATAAAGCAATTATATATTACTTTTTATTTTCGTGGAAATAGAAAATGGTAGATACAATTTCAATGTCTCAAAGGGTTAGCATTCTCACAAAGTTCCAATACTGCAATTACATTCGAGGTTACCACTATACTCTTAGTTTCATGTAAATGCTTTGTTCGTTACGACTGTAACGAGCAATATATCATAGAAATAGCAGCAAGCAAGTAACAAATCTGATTTATCTCATAGAAGAAAATCAGTTTCAAGTTAGCCTGTCTCTAGCAACCAAGAAAGTGGAAAATAGATCATACTTAAAGCCACTGTTAAATCTTTTTCACCATTCTTAATATTGACAAGAAGCGCATATACAAGACGAAGACCTCTTTTCAACCATAAGAGAGCATCCGTAGCTGAATTTCTAACTTTGGTTGTATTTGTCTCAATTTCCTGATTGACAATGCTTTGCAGGGTACAGAATCGAACTGGATCTGTCAGTTGTTTGGTTCGAATTTTCTATAAATAAAAACTCGATTCAGGATTTCAGGTTTATAATACTAATAAAACAAAATGTACTTTGTGGATACATTGTTTTTCGAGCTCACAGCTAATTCTAGACAAGAGTGTTGAATTCTAAATCGTGGCTCCATGTTGCGAATGTTTATACAAATATCCACACTACTTAAGTGACTTTAGTCTTTTTAGTCCTGATAGTAGCAGAAAATACTGTTGCACGGATAGGGTATTGGGCTGCAGTTCCAAAAGCCTGGTGTTATTCTAAGCTCAATTTCATATCTAATCTCAGTATTGTGTATCTCAAAATCATATGAAATGAATAGGATACTTTACATGATGAAAACTGAACAGTGTGTTAAATTTTTTCACAAACTTGTCGGGTAGAAATAATATTTACCAACACATAAAAACTGAATCCTAAATCAGTTGATCCTTTGGTAAAAAAATTGGTATAACAGTATCTATCACAAGCTATAATCAAACCTTTATGTTTCCACCTAAATCCATTTTAACAGGAGCAAATGCTGTTGAACCAATCAAATCAAAGAAAGGTAATAAGCAATCACATGCTGATAAGAATGGTGTAGTTGGAACGCCACCATCTTCCTCCAATACTATATCTGTGAAACTAAATTAGAGATTGTTAAATAAAGGTATTGCTAAGGATTTCTATCTACTCATTTTCAGTAATACATATGAAAAGTATTCCGTTAAATATAAATAAGGATCTACGCAAGAATAGACTTGTGATTAATGTTACCTATTGATACACAGTCTCAAATAAGAATCAGAAAAACAACACAATACTGTTCTGAAGTCAATGATAGTATTAATTGGGAATGTTCAAAACGAATCAAATATTCAAATACTGTCAAAATTCATTAAATTCAATACAGTAAATTTTTGAATTTAGGAATAATTTAGAACATTCTTTTTTTTAATTTTAGAATTTAAACCACCAGACAAGCAGATTAAGATCAAGCAATTTCTCAACTAGTAACAAACAACACTGAGAAACCAATGATCTCTTATGTTTATGTCACTTAAGATGTGATCAGAATGAAGATATAGTGATTTGTGTAATTTTCCGCATGAACTTGATCCCTCATTTAGTATGTATTGGAAATTCTATATTTGAAAATATTTATTTCGAATGTATTCAGAATAGTGAAATATTCGATTTTGGCCATCCCTAGTATGCATTGGCTGTGTAGCAACAAAAGCATAAAAAATTAATATTAAATATACCTATGTAGCATAGCAGTGAAAAATGACAGTCTGCATTCATCATTTGTGTTTTTAAGAATATTTGTGTTATTCTTTGTGTTGTTGTTGTGTAAATCAGTATTTTGCAATATTTTGTTTTGGTCTTTAGATATAGCTTCGTTTTCTGTAGACTTTTCTACAGGTGTTGAAGTACTGTAAGTGATTTCAACAGAGTTCTTTGGTATCAAAGTGTTGGAAATATGTAAATGTAAAAGTCTTTCCGTTGCATCAGCAAATGGTGAGATCTCATCATCAGGAGGAGGAGGAGAACTTGGAGCAGAATGACTAATAGGAAGTTCCAAGGAAAATGATTCATCAGTTTGGGCGAAATCTTTTGCATGATTATAGGAAGTTTCTTCCTTAACAGATACAGATCTTCGACTATATTTCTATAATATAATGAACAAAATTATATTATGATCAAATTGTTTTATAATTTCTAGTTGAATATTTCAGTTTTAGAATAACTAAACACAAAAATAATAAATATGAAATATACCTATGACATTTTCGGCCGTTAAAAACCTGATCATTACTTATAACTATTTATATTATCTAACATGAAACACCTAGGCCAGGGGTCACCAACCTTTACGAAGCCGAGGGCTACTTCCTGGGTACCGATTAAACTAAAGGATACCAGTTGGATGCACATTTCTGAAAACCCAATTCGATCTATCAAGCTTTAACTATTACTATTATTGGTATTTAGCTATTAGGAGACAAATATGATGAAATACTCAACTATTATAACAACATAGGAAATACATTAATACCAATAACAATAACTGAATAACTTATATTTTCAAATTTAGTGTTTTTGAATTGAACGTTTCAAAATGATCACTTCTATAACAGCCTAGGAAATCACAATGTACCTGTATTTTCAACAAACACCCAGCACAAGCCTAAGATAAAATGGACTGAGCAGTTGTGCTTTAGAATGTTACATTTCACAAACACATTTAACAAATGAATATCTTATTTTCAATCGGCACCAAATCTAGTCTATTTTCTCGCCAGTTAGTGGGAAACCTGGCATTGCATGCTCTCCACCAGTGTGTTGTACTCTGGTGTGTAACTTGACACTGCAACTCTGAGCGAGTCTTCTAGTATTGAGGAATATAATGAGTGCGAGATCTTGGAAAAGTATCGACAAAATGACGACACTATCTTTGGATGGAAAATATCTTTGAAAAGTGTGGCTTATTAGTAAGGCATTTTCAATTGATGTCACAAATATGGAACAAAACTCACCTCCCTGCTTTTAGACGAGTTGGCACCGGAAAACGGCAACGCCATCAATACATCATCACCACGAACGATATTTGATTTCGTTGCAAACTTTTTCTCTGTCATGCTGAGACATTGTGTCAGTGTGTTTAAAAATGTATCGCATGTAGCAACCAACATGGATGAAGTTTCGGTAAGTACCTGGAAGTATTGAGAAGTTTTCTTATGCAGTATCAAACTGTCAGTACACAGTAAATTAGCCAGCAGCCTATATAAGAAATTGTGCAATATTACAATTGTGTCTAGAAAGATTTCGATATACCGTAAGTTTGAAACGATTTTTAATTCAAGAATCTCCCAATTTCATATCAGATGAAAGCAAATCATACACATATATATATAGCCTATATATATATCATTCACATCCCCATAAATACAACCGAATGACAAAAATATACAAAATTGTCAGATGAGAAACTAACATTCATTAATGAATGTTTTGGAAAAGTTTTGAAATTCAGTCACTGAATTTATTTTGAGAGCTAACTATTTTTTTGCAATAGAATTGGCATATAACAAGATGAAAAATTGAAGCAAATGATAACTGAAATAAGGAAATTGGAATACCAAATCAATATCTACTAATGAGATAACATTGTGATATTCCGAATGACTATTAGTTTATTCTATGCTACTATTAGTTTGGTTTTATTTCCCTTAGTACTTATGTTTGAAAAACCTGTAATCAGACTTTAAGAAGGATGTAGGTTTGCAAAAAGGGTTCTACCCCCAACCTCGCTATTAATTATCTTGATCCTTGGCTACATGTGGATCCATGTGAAAATATCAACATTGTTAAATTCTGCAATGATATGATTATTTTACTAATCTATGTTTAAAGAGTTACCTTGGCATCTGGATGCTGAACCTGAGCTTCCTCCTTTAATTGTAAAACTTGATTGGATATCAGATCACAATACAATCTCAATTCAGAAACTTTTGTCTGAATTTCTTCATTAGATTTCGCTGTGTCTAAGAACATCAAAAATGAAATGAATTTTCGGACAGTAACTGCAATCTAATAAGATACACAGAAAAAGTATTACAACTTATATGCAGCTGATTTGAGGACTTGATTGAATACAGAAAATCCCCCTTTCCAAAAAAATGTGTTTCGTTGAAAAAAGAAAACAAATACTGTTATTGGGAGACCAATATTATGTCATATGTTATAACTAGAGTACCAAACCTTTGGTATTTATTCCACCCAACTCGCATTTCCTTGCTTTAACAGTTCCAAGAGCAATCAACCATTTCTGCCTTTCTGCTGGAGTGCTAGCACGTAAATACCAGTGTTGATCATGTTGTAATACAATATCAAACCTTGTGTTATCGGTTGGATGTACTGGAAACAAGAAAAAAACACATGAGAATGGATATCCCTTTGATAAGACATTAGCATCAATCTCAAAATTTGACAACTGATATGGGTCATCAAAAGGAGATATTGGAACGTGCCATGGAGTATAAGAAATACTAATAACTAATAAACGTATGAAAACGTGTAAACAAGCTGAAAAGTTATTAGGTCCCAATAACTATTTGAATAGCATTCTCACAGAGAGCATATTGGGTTGCCATACTGGACAGCAAGTTTGATTATTGCATTCGTAACTGGAGAAGTTCGGAAGAATTTGATTTCAATATTCAGAAAATATTTAAATGAGCAATTCATGACAAACAAACAAAATCTGAAAAATTTACAAAACTTTAGAAAACACTAAATCATCTCACCCTTAACTTCACCAGCAGAAATATTTAGTGAAGCTTTACAACCCTTGTTTATTTCTTCCAGACAACTGTAATATGCAAATATTCCGTTGTTCAGTACAAACCATCGAGGCTGCCAACCTGGTATGATGTTAAGAATCAGACATATTTAGATGTTCATGAGTTAAATGAGCAGAGGGGACTATATTCTTAGTCATATTACCAAAAAATCGATGTTATTGACAAAAAAACATCAAGCAACCAGCTATCATACTTTCCACACAACATAGTGACACTAACATCTCTGAAAACTTTCCTGATTTAAAGAATGTCTCCAAACTACTTTGGAATATAAAAAATATAAAAATTGGAGCCTTGGTCTACTATCATAATTTGCATTTTGAAAATTTTATAAACCAATGTGTTGCGAGCAATCAAAAAATCCTCCACCGGAATTAAAGAAGTTTATGGATAAAAGATTGGATTTAAAGTTAAATGGTAGACGATCTGTTATGGGTGTTTTGCGAGGTTCCGATCCCTTTATGAATCTAGTTGTGGATGATGGAACAAAGCACAAAAAAGATGGAACCACTGCACCTGTTGGAATGGTGGTCGTTCGTGGAAATTCGATATTAATGCTGGAAGCATTGGAATGAATACAATGATTTTATATTGAACTAATCGAAAACGAGAAAAGAACCCGATATCCCAATCCATGATTGTGCATATACTGTTATGAAACATTCAATCTATTTACCGAGCTTGTTTTTTTAGTAACAATTTTTTGTCACTGTGTTATTTTTGCAATGAAATTGAACAACAGCATCACCATTTAACGTCAACGAGTGTTTTTTATTCCATATTTTGTAGAAAAAGCACTGTCTGACTGTTGTGATACACATACCATAGCCATGCATTCCATCCTATCAATTCTAGAAATGCCCTTTTGATCATATTTTTTTCAGTTACACTTCACAGCATAGCGTTTAACTGGAGGTTATCATTTTCTCAAAAACAGCCACACAAGAATGCAATCAGCAAGCCCTCAAGCATTACGGTACATTTTTGCCATAACAAGTTGAATGCCTATTACCTTCGGGAGTGCAGACAGTTCCAATTATACAAATCTGCTGTAACGATTCTGTCTGTTGTAGCAAGTCTATGCATGCCACTTTCTCCATACATAGTTCATTTTCTCGTGATTTACGTTTGTTATGTCAGTATGTAATAAAACTTTACTGAACAATCAGTTTTTTCTGTAATCACCACATACTGACATAAGAACCGCAGCCACAATTTTTATTGTTCTATTTTGAATTCTAGTTTGTATGAAGTATTGCCATGATCTTCTTTTGTTCAGTGTACCACATTTTTAAATTGATTTAAAAGGTATTGTCCGATTTTACATCTTGTCTTTATTTATTCAGTTACCGGTACCCTAATTGTGTTTATTTGACTGTTTTTGGTGGACGGGCACATACTTGTACGTTTTTAACTTTTCATTAAGTTATGCCCGTCCTTCAGGTCCTCTGCATTTTGTTTGTCCGTTTGTTATTGTTTTGTTTCTTTCAGAGTGACCAAAATAATGAAATAAAATTGATTGATTAAAAATACGCTACCGGTACCATAACTGCGGAATGACTTACCTCCCCAATAATTTGTCCACTTGTATAGCATTCCATCGGTATCGCATACATCCATTTTATTTTAAAGATACATACGGTACCGCTGCCTAGCGTCCCAGCAGAACAAGTAACAGTCCGTGGTTCCGAAACTGAATACGGTACGGTATTTTATTTCTTCGAATGGCAAAACAACAAATACCGTACTTCCCGACTTTCGACCCCCAAAATACGGTAGATCTTTTTTAAATGATCCACAACATACGGTAAGTGGATTATTCAATTAGTAAATAATAAATAAAATATTACTAAAAAAAGAAAGTAAGTGTTTGTTTAGATTTTCCAATATAAAACAATACACGGCAAAACAAAAAAATGTACTGAAAATGAGGAAAGTGGGCAAAATCAAAAAAAGGTCTAAGACGTGCTGGTGCACGTACCCACTTACCCCAAACAGCAAACAACACATTAAAGTTAATTTAAAAAAAGGAGACATGGAGGATAATTCGGGCGTAAATACTTGGGTTTGGATGTGGAGTTTTAACATAAATTCTGTACAAAAAAGTAAACAGACATACAGTATACATCAATACTAGGGTTGGATTATCCGGATAGTGGTTAACCGGATATCCGGTTGACCAAGAGTTATTTTGCTATCTGATATCCGGATATTATTGTGACGGTTAACCGGATTATAGAGCGGTCAAAATAATGCCTATGCGCATTAGCGATTTTTATGTTTTGTTGAGTGGCGACTGACATCTCCCAGAGCATATAATAACAACTTTTTCCACTCTTAATCTGTCTATATTTTAGCCATCCGTAGAATGGTGGAGTGAACTTCACTATTACATCACAAAACACGCAGAACAAATGTGATTATTGCGCTTATTAGAAGAGCTCATTCGCTTTATAAAGTTAGAATTGAAGTGGAGGTACAGTTTAAGCAAGACTAACTTAAACGAATTCAGTCAGGCTTTTATTTGTTGCGTGTATCGAAAGAACGCATTTCATCATGAAGTAAACGAGTTTGAATTTCGAGGACTTATTTCACAACACTTCCGATTCCATGTAATCTGTGTAACATTTCAAAATTTTGGGTACACGACCAAATGTTATGTGCTTGCTTTTAACTTTGATATATATATTTTTTTCAAATTTCCATGTATCAATCGAATCAATAAATATACCAGCCGAAATAAATCTATTCTATCTAAGTCAGATGTATGTTAAACTAATTGAACTTAAAAGCTTAAAAAAATGGTCATCGTGAGTCTGCGACACCAAAATTTAGTACGAGTCAAAATTTAAAGAAAATATGCTCTAGACACAAAAGAAACTTCCAAAAAATTTAACATAAAAAAAAGAATAATATAAATTTTTACATAGGCTTTGAATATGAGAAAATAACGTAGCAGTCGAAAGAAAGACAATAAGGACACAGTATTTAAAAAAAAAATTCATTATATTATCCAGCTGTACTTCTGTACGATTACAGAGCTTAAATTTTTATTTATTGACACATGCAACATCAAAATGCACAATCATTTTTATTCGAGAAAAATAATACATATGTACGTATTTACGATAGAATTGTGTGGTGGTTTCTAGTCAAAAAATCTTGTGAAATCGGTTCTCTGAAATTAGCAGTAACTATCCGGTTAACCGGATACCCGGATATATCTGTTATCCGGATAGTATAAATTATAGGTATCCGAACTAACCCTAAATTCAATACCATCAGAATAGTTCCACCAGGTGTATTATTTTCATGTAATCAAAAAAATTCCATTCATTTATTTTTTTATGTCGCCATACGAGTTTAGTAGTTCTTTTTAATGGATGTTTCATCAGGTCGATTTCCGCCATTATAATCGTAACAATGGTAAATATGCATTAGGTCAACGATGACGCAACAATGACATGTGTTGTGGCTAAGACGCTTTTTCCGCTCAGACAGATATTGTAAACAGTAAACACTGGGATTGTAAATATGGTAAACGTTTTAGCGGTTTTCCGTGTTCTTTTTCAGTCGTGTTCCCAAAAATTACTTCTAAATCGAATAATTAAATTTTTATTATGTCCTCCGAGAAGCTTTAATTTAGTTGCACTAATCAAATTATTGGGTAATTATTGTTAAATAAAAATTATCGTTTTGAAAACGTAAACCAGTTAATAAGCGCATATTTCCCAAAACACTTCTAAAATAAATATCAAGAATTTTGCTAAAGTATATGGCGAAATTTCTGGAGTCAAGGGTCGGAAAAACGCCCGTTATTCAGTATTATAAAAGAAATTATAATAAGTCAAAATTTATCACATATCATGTTCAAGTTTTTCCATATAGCAAAATTCTTTTCCTAATTTTCTATCTTCCTCCCTGATATGATAAGTTTCTAATTTTCATAACTACATTAGAATTGAATTTGGGCTACACATTTATCCCGGAGATAGGAAAGTCGATAAGACGGCTTAATCACATGGAAAACCGAACCACGGCCTTTCGTCCGGTTGCCAGTCCACGTCAGGGGTATATGATTAGTCAGCCAGTTATTTGGCTTTCTTGCACTTGGGTTATGTAAATCAGATTGAGTTATGATCAAAGCACATTACCAAGAAAGATGGAATCAAAATCAGGTAACCTACTTGTTTACACAACATGCTTTTGTCATCCCTAGAAATATACCTTATTCTTCGCTTAACTTTGACTCAAGGAATGTCATAACCGGCCAGTGATTTGCCTCTGCACAATGTTTCAGTTTTTAAAATACTTCTTCCAATCAAAGATGAAAATCTCCAAAATTTTATTGATTTGTTTAGCAATGTTCAAGGGAATACGAAATAGTTTTACCCAATGTGAAAACTGGGGTAAAATTTTCACTTTAATTAAAAGACATTTCCCATCCACAGATAAAGTAATGTTCATCTATGTCAATTCTCGCATTATTTAAACAAGACTGCCAGTTTTCATCCCATGTGTCAGAATTAGAAAATTCTCGATGACAGACAGCAGCTTTGAAAAAAAATATAGAGTGACTCTGTCTCCTAATTTTAAAAGTTTCGTATTATTCAAGTTTGACGTCATTTCCATTGCTAAGTTAAATCTGCTCATTTAATCCAGTGCTGAAGAAATTAATGTATTGTTTCGAACAGCCAAGGCGATGTCATTTGTATTGCTAACATGTTTATTTCTTTATTTTGCGGTATCCATATTCCATTGATATCGTTCCACGCATTGATTCTAATTAGAAGTGGTTCAATTGCTAAGGTGAACATATAAGGACTCAAGAGATCTCCTTGTTGAATTCCTCTTTCAAGTTTCACAGCCTGACCTAGATAAATATTTAATAACACTGCAGTCTCTATTTACAATCTATGCACAATGGCCTAATTACATATATGAACCTATTTTTAAATCCTATTTCATGCAAATAAAATCCAATGGTAGTATTGAAGATTCTCTAGTTTTATTCTGTTCCTTAACAATATAAGTGCACCAGATTCCCCCCTTTCTGGAATAGCTGTTTGGTGGATATCTTAAATATATATGGCAAAACAAATTTCAATCTTCAACCTTTTTTATTGATTAGAGTTGTATACCCAATCACCATGTGTTTTGCCATGATACCTTTTTCATAAAATTCCTCCAGTTCTTCGAAAAATCATTTTTATGTCAGTCCAGCATTTCTCATAAAAACCATATACTCATTCCATCCCGTCCTGAAGTTGTTAACAGAGACATTAATTTTCCAAAAACCATTTCCTTTTCTCTTCTAAACTGTTAGTAACTTTAGCATCAATTAAATAAATGTCAATATCAAAATAGCATGTAGGACGTGAACAGTAAAAATTAGTTACATTACATGAATAGCAAGAACAGTAAATGCGACCCAGTCTTGCTTGTACAGAGTTTTTTCTCCGTGTTTAGAAAACAGTGTTATTGGGAGAATATTCCACAGAGTGATTCAAGTTGAAAGTATGAATACCATCATTTAGTGCATCTCAAATACATTTTATTTTTTGGCTCTTTTGTTGTTTTATGATCTATCACGATCTACATTATGAGCACAATTCATGTCTCCTCCTAAAATTACCAGATGTTCAAAATGCAAGAATCTGTAGATGTTATTATAGAAATTTTCCTGAATTCTAATATTTGTTAGACAGGGTTATATATTGAGCAGATGAATTTTTTTCCCACAAATATTTATATCAGCTGTATGGATTCTTCGATCATTATCAAATGAGATGTTATGAATGGAAATCATGTTACTTTTGATTTGGTTAATATAGCGACCCCTGTTGAGTTTGAATTATCATCATTCCACAGACTGGTACCCCACTTCCATTCTCGGTACTTTTTTAATTCTACTTCTGTAATAGGGCCTACAGTGCGTCTCGTAAAGAAAAATTATGCATATATATTTTTTTTCCAAAGATAACTCGATAAAAACATCTCTGCACACAAACAAACTATATAACGTAAGAATGTAGCCGAATACTGCGCTTGTCTAAAAAAAATTTGCCGAAAGTTGGCAAGTTGTCTCGTCGTGACATATTTCTTTGTAACCATACGCCATGAAAGGACAAAAAAATCCATTGGCTAATACAACCTTTTTATCCGAAGAGGGAGGGAACACGTTTCCGAGATCTCGCTCTCGTGACGGATAGATAGCCTTGCTTGCGTGCCGAGCTTGGCACGCGTGCCCACCCCTGGCCTAGGCTCTCATGCAAGGCTATCCGTCACGAGAGCGAAATCTCGGAAACGTGTTCCTTCCCTCTTCGAAATCCGGACCTATGACAATACCAAAAGCATTTTCAACGTAGACCGTGTAAACATCCACCATTTTATTAGAAGTTTGGCATTGTTCTTCTTGTCATAGTCTTTACAATTCCGTTGGTTAATTGATATGAGAAAGTAACTTATAATACGACAATCAATAGGGGGTAATCAATAGTGTTTGTATATATATGATCGATTATATTATTTTCCCAATCTGTTACTCATGCTTTTAACAAAATTACCGATCTTCAACCGGTATTCCGCGGAACACTGGCGTTCCGTAAAAGACCTCCATGTGTTACGCGTCAAATTGTTGTTCCCCAAACTTTGATTTATATTTTGGCATATTTTATGGTGAAAAAATAAATCAAGAACATATTTGATTTTGGGAAGAGTTTGACGCATCATCATCTCATCGGTCATTTTTTACTTATCATCTCATAATTTAGGTAGGATGAAAAAACTCAGCAATCATTCTTTATAATAAAATTTGTTAAAAACTTGGCCAAGCGGGGGAGCTCAGTTTAGTTGAAGTAGCTCTTATTGAAAAACGATCACGGAATAGATAGAATAGGCCATGCTGAAGTTAGCTGTCAGTCTTAGCGACCGCTAAGAGAGTGGAATTAGATGGTATCCACCAACAGTGCGACCTCAGAGTTTGTAATCCCAGAATCTCATTTTGAGGTTTTATAACATTAAAAGATAAATTAAGTTAGCAGTCAAGATTTCCCAATTGCAGCAGTTTTTAATTGTACTTTTGTTCCGTGTAGCCCCGAATTATATTTTGTTACTCGAGTTTAAAGCCATTATCTTATTATTTTTTGTTCTTGTATATATATATGCCGAAACATATCAAGAACATTAGATTGATATTAGATAGTTTCCGCAAATTCAGTAATTTTCGTTAGAGTGTTCTGCGAATACTTTATGCTAAAAAAGTTTTCCGTGGTTCAAAAAACTTTGAAAATCATCGGATTAAGATATGGGACATAGGTGTGTACAGCATGGGATGTCGAGGGGCATGGAGAATATTATATTCAATAATATAAATATTATAGATTAGTGTATTTGTCAACAGATGCTATGGTTTGAATTGGATTTAACATTTAAATAAATTATAATTAAATTGAATGACATAAATCTAGTGCAAAATTTAGGTAACTACATTTTATGGAACATGGTCGAAGATATTGTTAGGGATTTCCATGATATAGTATCGATCAGTATATATGTTTTTTTTGTTAATGAGTAATATATAATCCTAAGTTATCTATAGATTCCACAATCATTCAATACACAACTAATGAGCTGTTTCCAGCCTATACGATTGTCGTTAAATCGTAATCAGTTTCAAATTTCTGACGAATTCTCCCACTAGTAAATCTAGCCACCATAGGTGGATGATTTTTAGAGAGCACAGTAAAATGTTTTATGTATGAGGCGTCCACACATTTGTTACCTCAAGACTGTGCATTAGTTTGTCATGATTTTTACTTTTTGGTCGATATCTTCTAATGCTCTAAAATTCCATCAAACTTCGCGATTTTTAGTTTTGGAAATCTATAACCATAATCACACGGCGAATTATGTGAGAATAATATTAGACTTCCTACCCCATAAAACACTTTTTCATCCGAAATCTTTGAACACGAAACGGAACTAATAATCGTTCTGCAAAATTGTGACGACTGCTCTTATTAGGTTTGATAATTGGTGTGAAAATAACTGCTTTTCCCGCAACTAATGGAACACTCAGTTTCAAATCTTTAGTTGGGAGAGTTGACTTTGATGACCGTCTGGTCGTATCATTCCCTTCTGTCTATACAAAACTAATTCATTACTTGTTAATATTACGATGACTGTTATTTAATTTTGGTTGACGAAAAAATAAATCTCTCTCTCTCTCTCTCTGTCTTTAGCATCTGAAGATAAAAAGCCCTTGAATAGCAAACATTTATATATATATTTTTCAGTTTTGTTCATGGACAGATGTTTCGACATCGATACATTCTATACAATTTATTCATTTCCTTTGACTCGAATTTTGATGACGTTGCGGTCGTCATTTGAAAATTAACAGGAATTTTAATATTAGCAAGCACTATTAAAAAAGAATACAATAAATACATGTTGTCAAAGATGTATCGTAATGAATTACATATAGCTTCGACACTAGTATATCAATGACTTATTTTTTTGCCAACACTGTAGTAACTGTTTTCATTTTCTAATCATTGTTTTGTCATCCATTTCAAAGAATTGTGGATCATTAGATGATATATGATTCAATTCAACTTTGAAAACTGGTCATGCTAACTATATAAGCTTATAATTCTGGCTTTTTGTATGACTAGTTCGGACGAATTTGCTTATTTGTCGTGATTGCATACGAGATTTGAAATACACCATGTGTTTGTTTGAAATATTATCTCAAAAATACCCATACTAGATTACCACAAATATATTACGTTGCCGGTTGACGCGTTTCATACCATTCGCTTTGAATTGAAATATTCTATTCATTATCGAAAATAGAGGTGATATATATGTGGCTCACCTTACCGTACGAGGCAATGAAGCGCCATGACATCTGCAAGATTAGGAACTCAATATCTCAGGTCCACGAATGATAAGTACGCAAGCATAACTTTGCTACCATACTGCAGTTGTGGACCCATGGGAGATGTTGGGTAAATCAGTGTGCAGTAAATTAGTGTACTATATAGATTGTTGGGCAGAGTTTGTATATATCTAAACCCTTCTATGAATCAAGATGTCGTATGATTATTTGCTCTTAACGGAAGACCTATTTACCCATGTTCATTATTACACCTCAACAGCGCCACATAAATCAAAATTTGTTAAAACTTTTCTTAACATCCTAGTAAACCGCTTCAGTCAAGTTTGGGATATCTGAGAATACTAAAACTGTAGTATACGGCACCGATATATGTGAATTTGTTTAAATATAATTTGCCTAGTTTGAATACATATGTACATTGAAATATAGTTGTGATGTTATTAAGAGTTAAATATTGATTGCTTCGACATTCATAAATATGTTGTGGTTCAAAATTGTATTAAGCAATATGCATCCAACGTGGTTCATGGTACATAACAGCTGCAATTCTACAAGCTTTTATTCAGCTGATATCATCTCCTTATTATCAAATCATGACGTAACAAATTCCAGGTTCCCTGAGCGTCTGGTGACGATGTTATATTTGTTAGTCCCTCGTGGGATTTGATACGCCGGCTGTTTCTTTATGGTAATATTTCGTTTCTTTATTAACATACCAATACTCCATAACGAAGCGATAAGAGGTGTCTTCTGCCATTTGTGCGAAACTCTGCTAGATAGCGTCTCAATCGTTTAGTTTTCGTTTGCACGATAGCAAGGTATACTCAACAAAATCCAAAATGGATGCCATCAAAAAGAAGATGCAAATGCTGAAGTTGGACAAGGAGAATGCTATCGATCGAGCAGAACAAGCGGAAGTAGATAAAAAGGCTGCGGAAGACAAAGTTTCAGGGGTAAAAAAAAACGTTCCAATGTTTTCTTTCTACTTTTCCACATTATGACCCACTCATATAATTGTGGGTAATTAAGAGAACTAACGTATATTCTGCGTACGCGCAAAAGTTCTGAAAAAGGTGTGATTTGGTATTTTGAGTATAGTATGCAATTATATTTGTCGTTATTCTGTATTCTATGAATTATTCAATGCTAAAATGTGGACTAAATTGTGATGTAACATTAAGCTTGAAGAAGAACAACATCTCTTGAACAAAAGAACAAAGACCACAGAAGACGAACTCGACAAAGTCCAAGAAAAACTCAGATGTGCAAACGAAAGCTTGGAAACAGCTGACAAAAAAGCCGCAGACGTAAGTATCTTTTTGAGTATTTTTATATTTGAGCCTCTATCACTTTTTCCTAAAAAATCATTTCAGTTTAATGGCGACTGTTTTTCAATACGTAACCTAAATCTAATAAACATTTGACACATTCAACAGTTAATTGTAATAATTGACAAATGGAGCACCTTGAAAAACATGCGAAGATTCAGAAACATGACATATAATATATATTAAGAACCGGCACACATTTTTGTCCAATTCTAGATTGACGAGTCCAGCTTTTGGAGCTCGAGTAATAGATTACGCATTATATGTATTTGGCTTCTAAATCTGAAAACTACATTGGCTAAGTGATACACGGATTGTAGGTTAAAGGTATTCTGTATTTTTAGGCAGAGCAAGATGTGGCATCTTTGAACCGAAGGATACAGCTTGTTGAGGAAGAATTGGACAGAGCACAAGAAAGATTGACCTTATCGCTTTCAAAATTGGAAGAAGCTGAAAAATCAGCAGATGAGAGTGAACGGTATGAACATGGTTCAAAATATAAAATGTGCACTGTTTTCAAAATTAACCTGTTTCGGTATTTTTCATCACGTTTCAGCCTGTACACAATAAGTTACACCATGTTCATGAGTAACTGGTTGCGATAACAACCAATAGTATTATTATATATATGTTTATGTTTTTTACTCATCAAATCGACTAAGCCATTGTTTAAATGCGCAGATAAATCAATTTATATATAGCGAGAAAAATTCAATAAATTGAAATTAATATCTTAACTTATTTAGTGTACATTCTTTATTCTTGAAAAACAAGCATTATTATCGTTACACAGTGGTGACTTTAAATTAACTATATTTTCCTGCTTAGTGGCCGAAAAGTCATTGAAAACAGATCGTTGAAAGACGAAGAGAAGCTTGAACTTCAGGAAATTCAACTCCGTGAAGCAAAAAATATCGCAGAAGATGCTGACCGCAAATACGAGGAAGTTGCAAGAAAATTGGTGATGGTTGAAGCAGACCTGGAAAGAGCTGAAGAGCGCGCAGAGATCTCAGAAACGTAATTATCGGTCTTGTAGATTTTTTGTCTTTATTCAATCCAGTATTCCGAAGTATTATGGATCTTAAAAATTTTATTAGTTTTTTCTTGCTTTTGTCATGTCTACAGTTATTTGGGTTTGGTTTCGGTTATACAAATGTGGGCTAGTTACTAGAGACTACATACTTTATATACTAGCGCTTGACATATACATACCGTGATGATTAGGATCTAGTGAAAAAATAGAGTTTCCCGTTTTATTTTGCAGAAAATGCAACGAACTTGAAGAGGAGCTGAAAAATGTGACAAACAACCTTAAATCTTTGGAAGCTGCCGCCGAAAAAGTTTGTCTTTAATCCTGTATTATACGTTTCAAGAGCTTAAGCATTTTTGAAAATTTGACATTTGCTTTTTCGATTTCACATTCACCCCTTTACATTAGATACTGATAATGAAAATACCCATAAGAACTATCAGGATTTGAAGGTTTTGTTGTCTATGAATATATATATATTATACACGTCACATGGACAATAAGGAAATAGGCTTATCTAGTGGCTCTCACTAACACGAAGTTCATTCTTGTCAACATAAAATAATTGAAAGTAATTTCATACTTGGTCTGAACTCTATTTTTAATTTAATTATGCAGTACTCGCTGAAAGAAACAAAATATGAAGAGGACATCAAATCTCTCACTGACAAACTTAAGGACGTAAGTATTTTTCATGAAATATTTGTACATTAGTATTTATAACAAAATAATTTTTAGGAATGTATAATGAAACATTCCTCGCTATTTGATAAACAGTCGTTTTGCAACCTTTTTTTGACGGGTTTGGTACATTTTTGTGGAGCCTAATTTATTTATTATTATGACTCACCAAACTTAGCAAAGTGTACTTTGTATTTACTTGTTAAATTCATAATAACGCTGATAAAATATGTTTTACCGATGCAAAAAAAACTATTTTGAGGAGAGGGACCATTAGGCATTTTGCCTCAAAGTTCAACTTGAGAATTAGGATAACCCGGTATTATTCTGTATATTTAAGCATTGGTGTAATGAACAACTTATTTTTTTTCGTTCAATGATTAGTCTGAAACGAGAGCCGAATTCGCAGAGAAGACCGTCATAAAATTAGAAAAGAATGTGGACGAACTCGAAGGTAAATTAAGTGTTAGCTTATATATACTATCATAAATTAGTTATTTGCCTCCATTGATTGATTGGTAGTATATTATGATTTCACTGTCTTCGCTGTTAAAATGTCGCCACATATATTTAATCGTTGTTCCTTAGGGTTGGGTTTGTTCCTTTGAATAGTCACAAACACATTAGATGAATGTAGACCGGTGCATAACGACATGTTCAAATCAAAATCGCAGTTAACATATAGATGACTGGACTTTAAAACTAGATAGACTCCCTTGTTCATCATGCATGTTCATTTCAAATATTTGACGTTCGCGCTACAAATATTCTCTTACCGAGTCAACAAGGTTTTCTCTACAAAATGACGTCACGATGCAGCTGTTTTCTGTCACCGTCGAGTTATGCCGTTCGATGTGCTCCGAGCGCAAGCTTACGAAATAACCAAGTCATGAGTAAAAGTAGTTCCAGATCAACGGAGCTACATATTTTGTTTCTCGAACCATATATGTACACGCGTATTAGCAAAAGAACACATTTTTCTTTTTATAAATTGGAAAGAATAAGCGTCCCGATAAACTTGTGATTTGAAAATATGAATACTACTGTATAAAAGTGGAACTATATCGAATGATTAATAAAGGCAGATTCTTTCTAAATATTAATATAAGCACTCCAAAAACATTCCTTCAGTCGACTAAAAAGAAGGCACAATATTAGAATACACTTGAACGTAAAATATTTATTATAACGTTGGTTCGACTTGAATATTTTTGTTGGGTAAGGCGTATCCAATCCGCGTGAAGTGGAAGCTTGCTTTGGACCGACGGAATCGGTCGCCCATTGATCGACCAATTGGCCACTGATATCAAGCTATATGTGGGGAGCTGCAATTTATGGGAAAGATTGGAACCTTTCCAGTTCTGCATTGCCTTCCTCATTTATTGAACCCCGAGTAAGGGTGCATGGGATCTGAACCCGAGATGTGAAACATTCCAACATTACAGGGCCCTGTATCAGCCAAAAATCCATCAGTGTTTTGTGTTCGAGCTGATATCTGAATCTGAATAAAGTTCTAAACCAAATATAATCGTTTCTGGACTTAGAAATTACTCCTTTCCGCATACGAGAATTACGAGATAATTTGTAATATATGAGTAAACAAAATAAGATATGGCAAAATATTTTGATAAAATGTGTCGACTTTCGTCGAAAACATCGATTCTAAATGTGGTTCGTGGTTTCACTTTACAGACAATCTATACTTGGAGAAAATGAAAATAAAGCAGGTTTCTGAGGAAATGGACCACACACTCCAGGGCATCGGTGATTTTTAGAGCATCCACGGGCATTTCAAATCAGTAACGTTTAGGAATACATGTGACTTTCTATTTCTGTTTAGTTGTATAACTTCATCATTTCTATGTGCATGACTCCTTTATATGACGAAACGTAATATTTGTGGAATCCACTTTATCCTGCTTAATCTGCTTTTTATTTTTGAGATATTTTTGGGTATTGAAAATGAAACAAAGGAGTAAAACTCATTGGATACCGTCTAATAAGTTAAAAGACTGTGGGGAGAGATTGTTAGTCTTTTTATTGTGATATCGTAGAATATTTAATAAGAAAAATTACTTTTAGTAGGTCGGTTAAAAATCATCTTTGTTTTTATAGTGATAGCTCACATTATCTGTTATTCACAGCGTAGCAACAAGCCATTTCTAAGACGTAACGTCACAGAGTGTTACTTCTAATTATCAAAATTAGATTCGCGTCCCAAGAGACAGTAATTTCGATGTGAACATACAGAAAACTTAAGAAAGTAAAATTAAAAACCGAAATCGATTCAAACATTCTCTTTGAGAAAATTCAATATTTTACATTATACTTTATACACATACAATCCATGTCTCTGGGGCGAGCAAGGATATCATATTTTATGGTTGATCTTATTTTGCATCGGCAAGAGATTAAACGGAACAGTATATTGCTCAAGTTATATTCATCGGCGGCGCACTCGAGGAAGACTGATGTTCTACACAAATTAGGCTTTGTTAACAGCACTCACTTCTTCGTATAAAGATCAAACAAATAAGTTACGATTACTCGATAACCCAAAATGTTTCAATAGGGGAATAGTCGAATTATGAAATTTTGTCGCCGACAGCATATATTTTACAGAACCTTGTTTTCACTAGTTTGTGAAAGTATTAAATTGAATATGCCGAGGTCATCATCAGGAAATTAACAAGAGTTAAAAACTATATATTTTATCAAATTCAACTGAAATAGGTTTCTAGGTTCCGCATATTTTGGGCAATGTTTTTAAATTATGATGAGATCCTATATTTTGACGATTCATTCGTGACTTGTATCGCACCATCTAGAATTGCTTCTGACAAACGAAGATCGAGTATGCTTCTCGGTTTGATCTAAAACAAACAATTACAAAGATCAACATTTTCTGAAATGTTTTGGAATATTTTCTTTACTATAATATAGATAGACGACCAAATTGAATTTTTCTATGCCGTGCACTGTCTGGTTTGGTGAATCGCTATGCCCCAAGTAAGAATTTTCCTAGCCCTTGAAGAATTAAAGTTTAGCAATAAAGCTAGGACATAATGGCGTTGAACAAAAATATCTGATTGTGTGGGTACTAGAATGAGCTCGTAACTTCGAAAATGAATGAAAGCGATTGTTCACACGTACAACCTATCATAATTAATGCAAATGCCCATGAAATATCACGCAGTAATACATATAACTGTGAGCGGAAATGATCACAGCTTGTACCGGATGACAAATAGCAAACACTTTCGTGAGATTCAGTGAGTTCGCATGGGCTTGGGGGAACCCGTTCCTGAAATGGGGTCAGCGAACCTGTTCGACGTGGTTTTCTGGAATGAAGAAAACCTGTTATTTAATACAAAAGATATACAAATTTCGAATCCCATCACTGTTTACTCCCATCACCCAGCATAAATTGTACCAATGACAAAAGCTAATTCCAGTACTGACATTAAGTATATATATATATTTTAACTACCCACACAAACTAAAATTAAAAATTTCATTAAACGATATAACGAATAAAAAGAGGCAAAAATATGAGATATCTTGTTATGTGCGTAAAAGTTTCATAAAATTAGTAGTATAGTAAGGCATCTAGGTATCGGCATTGATCGATGTTCTCGATATCTTCATTCTATGTTAAAAAATTGTACATCTGGAATAGTGAATCCTAGTAGTAAACAATATTATAGTACTGTACCTCGCACTGTGAAATGGATTTCATTAGAACCGGGCAAGAAAAAAACAAGAATTTTCGAAAATGGGATCACATTTCGGTCGTGAGGTATCTCCCTCTAATTTCTAGGCTAATATCACTAAGCATGCTCAAGTTGGGACTGGGAAACTTTGATACTGCGCGAGGAAGTTTTTGATATACACATGTTGCAACGTGATTTTTTAGCTGTTTGAGACTATATACAATTTGTATGAATTTAATCTCTGTTCATATTAATACTTAAATTGAAAAGCAAAGCAAAGGGAAGGGAGCAAATGATGAATTTAGGATATACCTTCAATCTCTTTGCAAATACTATGTATTTGGCAAAGGAATAGGAATTACACTTCTCAAAACAAGAGAGTCTACGTTTTGTGAATACAAAGTAAACAATACGGAATAGCGATACAAGGTAACTCGAGAACGAGAGGTATTCTAGACACAATTCATTTAGTATTGTTAGCTACGATTGAGCTAAGCGTGTTCTGACTCCGTTGTTTAGGGTGGATTTAAATATTTGTCAATTTTATTAAAGTAAACCTGTGAGCTATTGGGGTTACCGATACATAGATTAGTCATGAGCAGCAGTATATGAACCTAGATTCCATTTCAAGTTCTCCTTATTTGTTCGTAAATGATTTGATGACATGGCAATACTGGCGTAAGATCCATGCTTGTGGATTACTGTATTATTCGGTAGTTTTCAGTACTATTCACAAATGGGACACGATAGGAACGGAGAATAAATCACCATTTAGGCAAGCTAATCTAGCAATAATTTGATCTAAAGTTCAGGAGGTTGAATTTATCTCAGAACTTATACCAAGATTTTAACAAATTGCCAAAAAATCAGCATCAAAAAAATTATAGTCCTATTGTGCTATAAACGGGTCTAATGTAAATCACACTTTTAATAAACAGAATCGAAATCAAGTACAAATAAAAACGGAATTTCGATACCGTCATTAATAGTTTTGCTGGTCATTTGTGTCTGACTACAGAAAAAAATACAATGGAAGCCAAATCAATAAATGCGGATCAATCACCCGCTAAAATTGGGTTCGCAAAAGGCTGTTATGGCTATAAAATGTCTAAAAAAGTAGCAGAACTGACTCAGGTATGTAAAACACCACATATTCATTTTTTGAATGATTGGACAGGTATTTGTGCACACTTAAGCACTTATGGACGTCTCAGTGTTTTTCTTGTTTTATGGAAACTTTCAAAGTATACAGTAATTGGACACGGAATGTACATAATAATCGTTTTGTTATCATTGTGTTGTTGTTGTTCATCTTGTTGATGGATCAAGTATTTAATTTGGAATGTTTTCATCAGAAGATGGAACACACGGTAAAATTCCACCCGTTGCATTAGCATGCAAAATCATCGCATGATTGTCATCTCATAAGTAACAGTTTCATTCAATGGGGTTGGTAACGTGATGTAACTATAGAACCAACTCATATACGCATACAGCCAATCACATATACAACCAATGCCATATTTATTTACAGACAAGTGATATATACGTCCATTCGAGTGATGTACATATACAGTACATGTATGGCCATGTGTTTGAAATAAGATCGTTAACTTTTGTTCGGTAAGCGAAGCTTCACGAGAATGGTACCCGTTGTATAAGAGAGCGTTCACCACAGGATGCCTGAAATTACTAAACCTATTGTCACTACAGGTTGTTCACATGCTTTTCACAAGAAATCATGAAAGAGAAGTTGAATTAGATGAATTGCGAGATGCTTACGAACAAGAGATAACAGCGGTCATACAGGTATTCTAAATTGACATGGTGCAGATCGAATATTGGCAAAATTTCAAACACCTATTCAGTATAATGAAAAACATTTTAGTGTCCAATGGATGCCTATTCGAATAATTCTCTAATAATTAGATATTTCTTTAATAACGCGTCAATTTTCTTGGTCTGTCTTTACCCAGCAGAAGGTGAATATTTTTTGAAGGCTAAAATCAAAATTGTCATTTCATACATTAAGGACGCGAGAAGCAAAATTGAAAGACTGGAATATCAACTCAGAGAATCGGAAAGAAAAAGAAAAAAGGAGTCTGACGAAGTCTCGTTAAATATTTCTAATCTCCTCCGCGAAGCGCAAGAAAGAATGGATTCTCTGAAAAATGATTTACATGAAGAAAAAAAAGAAAGTACTCATTTACGTGACTTGTTGACGCAAGCACATAAAGATCTCGAAATATTAAAGCATGGCTCTACTGGAGTCACAGGGGATTTACAGAAAAAAAGCAAAATTCTTGAGGAAAAAGAAAAGGAATTCCAGAAAATGTGGCACAGTTATACCGAACTAGAGTCACGATATATTTCGAATTCAAAGCACACGGAAGATTTGAAAAAACAACTAGAGTTAGCACATGATGCAGAAAGGCGAAATAAGTTACATATGGAAAAAATGCTAAAGGTATTAAGCCCGTGATGTTCAGATCACGAGCATGCCTGGTTTATAATTTATATATACAATCTCATTCATATAAGAAAGTTTTGCCACTATCTTTTTTTTCATTATAGGGGTTTACTTCATAACGAAACGGGTTCTCCGGTTTGTTGATGGTTGTAATTCCCACCCAAAGCCATAACCGGTATTTTACAAACGCATTCTCAGCCTATTTCCCCTTGTACTGAATCCGAATCACATCGATGCAAAAATCGGAATGTGGAAAGAATTAGGGTCCTCGACACGTTTTTGGTATTCGAAACGACTTGAAATACTACCATGACACGAAAAGAAAACATTGTGTCACGAATAAAGACGCAATAAATCAATAACATAACAATTTTCTTTTTTCGTCACAATTGATTCCATTGCTAATTCTAATATATATACCAAGCAGATTATCCACAAGTTGGGTATAAAACCTGGAGCATTAAATTGGACCTCAAACAAAGTCGATATAATCGATTCATGTATTTTGTGTTAGGTAGAAATGAAGACACAATGTTTTTCCTGTAATGAAATTATGTCAAAAACTAAAACGGCTAGTCCACAAAAGTTGCAGTTGCTAATAAGAAAACAACGCGTTTCCTACTATTTTCTAATTATACAATATAAACATCGATAACAGTCGTATAACAATTTCCTATTAATAGGCAGTTGAAGAAAAGAAAAGATTTTCCCAAGAACTAGCGAAGAAATTGAAATCTTACGAGGAAGAAGTTAAGGTATTGAAAAGAGAACTGAATAAGAAAACTAAAGAAGGTTCAAAAGATTCTCGTTTGGATGCGGAACTCAAAGATTCAGAAAATTATGACAAAGATGAGAGAAAATTCTGGGTTGGTGATTGATAGTAAACTAATCAATTTTATTACCAGCGATAATTATTGATTCGAAAGGATTAATAAAGGTATATGTATGACGAACATATATTTTACCTTTTACCAGCTTAAGGGGCAATGCATATAAAGCAATAGGCCTGTTTACTAGTGTACCTTATAACTCATTATGATATGTGTCATTTTCAATCTAGAAAGACGTAGAAAAATTGCGAAGAGAAAACGAGTGGCTACGAAATGAAATAAAGAATAGAGAAGGGAATTTTAATCGTGTATTTGCGAACTTTCATCCAGTTTTCGTTGGTAGCAGTAGTCACCAACAACCACATTCGGACATTCTGCAAGACCGTGATATGATGATGGTAACCCCGGTATCGAGTTTTCCATCGCATAACAAAACTAGTTATCCGCCATTATTGTCATCGCCCCAAAACTCAGGCAACGTTAGTGCTCGGCGTCGCACGCCAAACTTAACAGGCCTGGAGCCGAAAGTTCACTCGATGGCTCCAACACCAACTCCACTTCGACCAAGAACTAAGGATGAATCAAGGTGGAGAGAATCGCATGAGATGAACGGCGGCAAACAAGGGAAAAATTTTCGTTTAGTCTTTACGAAGTAACATGAAAATGTTTTGCGAAGTATGAAATTTAAATGCTTATATTCAGACGGTTCATATGATGTAATTAATTGCTTGTTATAATTTTTTGATTTATTAAAATTTATTTTATTAATGTTAGCACAGCTTTCGCTTCGTACAAATATACTGTTCAGTATTATAAGTTGTTAATAAATTTGGGTGGTGGCTGTATTTCTAAAAGTAACAGCTGCGTACTCGTATGTAATTGTATTTATTTCTAAATCCAGACACAATACTGGAATCGGGAATAATAAGAACATATTGGTATTTGGCAATGATTTTCCAAATAAAGAAATTATATTTTACAATTTACAATATGACGGAAAGAGCATTCTATTTATAGAAAAGCACACGCAAAAGAACATTAACTCCTAGACTACAGGAATCGGCGCATTTCAAACACGGTGCGCCAAACAGGCAACAAACCTACTTTGAGTTTTGTACATGTATCACTCGTACTAGACACTGTGGCGATTGGCGGTACTTGATTTCACGAAATTCATGTATAGAATCACAAAAAGAAGAACTGAAAATCTCTGCCGCTTCTGCTTTCAACTAACATCTAGATGCATTTTTAATTCAGAATCCTGTAAGCCTTCAAACCTGTATAATTTGTTTTCCAAGCCGCACTTTTTTGAAAGTCATTTACATTGTTTGTGGACTGCTGAAAACACATCGAGTTTATTTTCAAATACCTATAGATCCGAACACGTGATAACTCAGTATATATCTCAAAAACTGTGCCGAGGCACTTGAAACACCGTTTCTGAAATTAACGCTTTCGGTACACGATTCTGAGATGGAATTAGTTTCAGCGACCGAACCTTCAGAGCTGCGTTCAATAATTTTATCCAAATCCGTCGCCGTGCTCGCCATTGTCACAGTTTGATTTTGACCAAATCCTGGCGTGCTCGCAATTGTCACCATTTGGCCAAACAAAAACCTAGCAAAAACTATGTCATTTTACTTCAGGATCTGTGTCAGCCTGTCAATTCTTCTTATTACAAATGTAATTGAGATTACACAGGTACTTCAACAACTTGAATTGATGTGGGATATCTATACGATAAAAATGTACTTCCAGTTGCCGGAATGCAGTATGGGTTATATTCAAGTTCATTATCATATTACGAATACTACACTTTGGGACCATTGTAATGTTATTAAAATATTGGCCTAATAAGGTTCTCGAAATAATTCTTGTACCACTAATATGAGATGAAACGGTGTATAATAAATAATACTCGATAATGTGTGTGCCTATGTGGTAGCTTATGGCTTTTTAAAAATTATGACAAATTCAGAGTACCTGTTTTTTTTAATTAGAGTTTGCTACTGAGTTATATAGGATTGGTTCGCCGAGTATCGGAAAGCTTTAGAATGTTAACTCATTTTTACCTAATATATTACGTTAAATTTGTTATTTTTCATGACATCTTTAAGTCAACAGTTTTTAAAGTCGTTAGATACCAGGGATTAAACAATGTGCGTACGTGTTAGATATTAGTTTTATTGTCAATTGTTAGCAATGTCAAAAGTTTCAGGACAACTGTTACAAAACAAATTTGAAAAAATGAAACCGAAATTGATTTCATTTCGGTATCTTATTCATTAATCATTACTAGCGCGTGTGTCTTTGCTTGTTGTGTCAGAATATTTTTTTAAAACTTCTGAATGATCTAATATGTTTGAAAGAAACAATATGTGTATTTCCTTGTTGCCTGTGGTAGTACTAAGGTCATTTGTGCGAGATTAGTCTGGTACTGCAATAATATTCCGTGCATACATTTCAATATTTTTTTCGCAATTTCCAATATACTATTAAGTGTTTTGTTCAAAAGAAGTAAAATTGTTTGGCCAAACTCCATAGATTGAATTAAGATTTCTGTGGGAAACCTAACACTTAAAAGTATTTTTTAAACACTTTTCAGAATAAATATGAAATCAGGATATTTCAATCTTCTTTGCGGTAAGAACGAAGTGATTGTCGGTGTGTATTACAAGTACAGATTTGACACGAAATTAGTATTTAAATTTTGGTAGTAAAATTTTAATAAAGATCGGATCACTTTACCGATAGTTACCTTGATAGACAATGCTTAATTAGACTGAATTGAGTCATTTTATATCCCAGTACTACCCTATCACTCGCTATTTAAAAAGCGTCCTTGAGAATAATATACAAAATCAGATATATATAATTGTTTTCAGCCTTGCTAGGATGCTAGTTTATTGTAAATGTCACCAACCAACATGATTATGACATTAATTTACAAGACATTCAATGCTATACCTGCTTATCATTGGGACGTATGTTGACCCAAACATTGACAATATCCTAAGCGCAGCTCGTTCAACATTGGGGTATTTTCCACCGGCATGCTTTTCCATAACTCAATGGTCCATTTCCCTAGTCTTCCTCATAAAGATCAATCATTTTCAACTCAATTGCAGCCTCATCTGAGAGACTGAGACAAGAGGGAATTTTAAACAATTCGTCTCAGAATTAAACGAGTCGCCGACAACATAATCTGTAACGTCTTATCTGCACTTCAATTACTTCACTCAAATGGTAAACTACACGTTTGCCGCCGAACGTCGGATTCGGTATTATTACGGCAGTCGAATAATTTACAATTCGATTCGAAATGCCCAGCCCTATTATCGACAACATTTGACTGTTCTTTCGTTACTATTTGATTCCAACGTATTTTTGAAATCAAACAGAATCTCATCATATTGAACTGAAAAAACTCAAAATATAATATCACAGCTGAATGTTATATGCATTGCTGTTATATGGAGTAAACTGCACGAACTGCATGCATTGCTGTTATATGAAGTAAACTGCACGAACTGCATGCATCGCTGTTAAATGGAGTAAACTGCACGAACTGCATGCATTGCTGTTATGTGGAGTAAACTGCACGAACTTTGATTCTTTAATATGTCACGGTAAAGTTTTGTCAAATGAAGTATTTTTTCAAATGGAATAATTAAATAAAAATGCCTTCTTCCATTTATCAGAAAATTCTTCTTAGGCAATTTTTTCAGGTTTGTTACGTAACACATGCATATTTTTATAGAGAGTCAGAGTTATTTTATTTGTCACTTCAAATAAAAAATACATTCAGCAATAAAGTGTATGACTGTATGTAATAAGTACAGTATCAGAATGACAGATGATGTGAGGGACGGATCGCTCCGTCATCTAAACTACAGCACCTGATTTTCAACTGATTTCCATTGAATTGTTTATGAATTATATTATTCTCGTTTCCTACTTTTGACTGTGCATTGAACTTCAATATTGCTGGCTAAAAGGGGCATGGTGTGATGTACCTCGTATAGACTATTTCCGTGTAAATTTATTTGCCTGATGACAAATAATATATTTTATTCCACAAATCTATATGATTTAAAATGACGAACAATTGAAATAAAAAATCGGATTGAATTAATTTGTTTTCGTTCGGTAAAAACAACACTCAAGCAGTTTGTTCATCTATTTTAAATTAAATTCTAGCTGTAAAAAAAAGTATTATTTCTTTTCTGTAAACGTGACTTAACTTTTAGAAACCAACTAAACCTTTGTTAAACAAGAAATAACACGAGTTCAATTTTCAAGTATGTCCTTTTTAGTCGATGAAAGTGAAAATAAATGCAAAACTAGATGCTGGAAACAACATTTAATTCAACATATAAATACTCAACAAAATTCCGCTGATAAAAATCCGTCCTTTGTTCAAGCTATCATCCCACATGAACGAAAAACAAAATTTCGGCCTTACTCCATCAGACGTCGGTAAATTCAAATGCAATGTTAAATTCAACTCCGAATTTTTGGATGTTCATGAATATGATTCTTGGGCAGTTTTATCTGGTGAAATACCATCTGCATTTGAATAGACCTGTCTTCAATACGTACATCCACATGATGCTAATAATCGGTGCGCCTCTACGAAAAATGACGATCCAAATTATAAATTTTTATTGGAAAAAGAAAAAAAGTTTACTTGGGCTCAGTGGAGCAATGGATATTTCGAATATTGACAACAATCATGTGTTCGTACACGTGCAGGATGCTTTATCTGATAGAAATATAATGAAATCGAACGATGACGAAAGAATAGTTGGTACAGTACAACCCCAGAAGACTTATCCAATTTACTTACAGCAGCAGACGCTAAAAAGGCGCCTGAAGTTTACACAAAATATGCACGTCGAGTTCAAATAGTAATACATAAAATATTACAGATATTTTCACTATTAAACAATATTTTTGATACAAAATTAGCATTGAACAACGCGTTTTATATTTTAGTTTTGTAATATTTTTAATTAGGTAAAATTGTAAGGTATGCGATTTTGTATGTTTCTTGGAGATTTGGAACTCTTTTTTTGTCCGTACAATAATAATGATAGATATATTTCTCTCAATTGTTGCAAAAAGATTCAAATAAATATTTGATAATTATTGGACACAAAATGGGCCTATGGATTGTTTTGCTATTATGTTGTTGTTGATATTTTTTCTTGTAATTTTTTTATCATTCAAGAATGGACCAATAGCTTTGAAATTTTCAGTGATTAAATAAGATTAGATTGCTGTTATTTGTTGACCATCTTTGCCACGAAGTCATCGGACATCGATGGCATGGTATATTTAAAATAGAAAGCGAAGCAGTAGTCTACCTTGGATTGCTTACCTAGTATACTGTTATACAGTACGGTGAAAATGAGGGAGAGAGGTCGCAAAACCGCTACAAATAACTTTGAAGAGGTCATCACTCATTACACAGAATTTTGAAGTAAAAAGGAGTCACATAAAGTTTTAAAATAAACAAATGTAACACCCTTTTAGAGAAAAATACAACCCTTAACCACTAAAAATTTATTTAATCTAATATATAATGAAATTTAAGAGCTATTTTTCATAACAATAAGAAGAAAAATACCAACAAGAAGAAAGCGAATAAGAGAGCTCAAATATACGGACACGAATGATCTTTGCCTTGCGATTTTTGTAATGTTTCAGAGACTGTGGAACATTTTCTAATGAACTGCCGTGCGTATAGAAATCGAAAACAAATACATAAGCTCATATTTCGCGATTGTGGCAGAGATTATGGAATTAAAGCTATTTTAAGCAACCTTCGCTATTTTATTTTGTCCACCAGGAGAGGCATATTAAAAGTTGGTTTAAATTGTCAGACGCGAAAGACTTAATTGCTAAAAGCGTTATATGTTTTCATACCATATACCCACCCGCATATAACTAATGTTGGTAGAGTTTTATCTACGATTTTCTATTATAAATATAGATTATTGTAAATAATGTATAAATAATAAAAACCTGTATGATGACATTATATAGTAAGTGCTTCAATTTGGTAAACTACGTGCTGAGTGTAGTAAGGTAAATTACGTCTGGTGTTGCGTGGAAGTTCAACGAGTTCGTACGGAAAGCAACACAAGTAAATATTGCTGCCATTCAAAATTTAGTTACATCTAGCGCTTGCGATTTTTGCTTTCGGCTACAATTTATCTGGCATTTACTTATTGAGATGCCGTTTATTACCGCTAACTCGATTTGGGAGAAAATTCTTAACCGTTAGAAATAGTGTTCGAAACCACAAAGTAAATAAATATAGGTGAGACAAATATTTGAAATATTATATAAGTAATCTGTCTCATCTGCCAATCTTTGACAAAATATCCAGACAGTCATAATAGGACTGAAATCATGTATATGGAATTATAAACTGATGTTTGTAAATCAGGTCTTTGACCGTTTGGCTTAGATGTGCGCTGTAAACGAGTCAATTTATGATCTCTAAAAAATAATATGTTCTATGTCACATAAAAGTTCGAAAATATAGGGACCAATAATTCAGGATAATAACAAAAAAGTAAATTATTCTGAAATCATCTCCCGATGCACGTCGTCGCAAAAAAATGTGATATGTTCTCGATATTTAACGATCCATGCTGGTATAAGACGTTATCAATTATTAGCCTTTTCCGGTAATTTTAGGTTTATTCGATTCAAGGTAGTTTTTGTTTCTCTAAATATACATACACACCCATAATTTACTTTAATAAAAAAAAACTTCAAAAAAAAGTTTTAAAAACAAAATGACCTATTGTTGCAATCTGGGGAATGAGTTATTTATTTTTCCTAATAAAATATAGAACGAAACACATTTTATTTTGATTTGTGAGATCGGTATTTGTGGCATTTGAAAAATTATCGGAGCACGTAATGAACTTCATTGTATCATTTTATATTGGGTGTGCTGCGGTTATGACCAATCCTGAAACATTGAAGATTTATTTCTATCAAATCGAATCCTTGTCTAAATAAAAACATTTAAAAAAGTTAAGATTCGTAAAACCAAATCATTGTAAAAACAAAACTTAAATTAAAAGATGGATGACTAATATGTTATTTGATGATCTCGGCATATAATTTTGCAACGTTGATAAAAATGGATTTGCTGAATTCGGTAATTCAAAATTTCGTCCGACGATATTTATTTGCAATGATATTTATTTTACATGTTATAACAATTTATTTGTTTTCGACTATATTCTCTTTGTTTTGCGTGGAATGTGGATCAAAATAAATGCTCAAATTGCCACAGATTTGCGATATCTGGAATAAACAAACTCTGTGACCATGTTTATACTTTAATTTTAAATCGGCTTCGCAAGAAGAAATGGTTGATTGTGCCATGCAAAATAATATAACTGTAATGGCGTTAACCTATATATATTATAGTTTTATCATTGTACTCGGTTTTCTATTCGGTTGTGTATAAACCTACTCATTTGGAATATCATATTTTAGACAGCATATATAATCTTATATCAACAAATTAGATTAATAACTGGTAAATGACTCATGAAGTAAAAATACTACATTGGATATGTCATTCTTACATCCGTTTGAAATGCGGAATCGAAATAACTATTGCAATATGTACTTCACGAAGACGACCAGCATCGAACTTGAATGACTGCAGTATTTTCTAAAAATAGTCCCTTGGGGCAAACTTGAAATTTTTTCAAAATCATAGCTGTTTTTATGCGTCTGTGGTATCGTGGAAACTTAGTCCATGCCGCGACATCGCAGACACTGGGTTAATGCCCACGGGGTTCATGATACTAGTTTGACATGTGCGGATTTTTATGTAAATCGCAGTCGTTTAAAGTAAATTTACGTTATCTCAGGTAACATTAGCCAAAATAATGAGTGCCATTTGTATGACTATCTAACCTGCTCAGATCTATTTTTGAACTAAGATATAGAAGGATATTCATAGGCAATCTATAGTGTTCGAGTGCATTAATATTTAAGAACACCAAAATGCATTCAAAGACAGAAAGATTATTTTTGGTATTATGTGTATTCTTCATCAATTGTAGTTCATTGGCTCAAGGTAAATTTTTGCATTTGTACACTTTAAGTTATATTGACTTATATTGTCACGGACACAGAATAACTTCCTTTTTCGCATAAATCTCGGCCACAATTTAAAAACGATAAATATAGTTATCAGATTTTCGATTGTTTTCGAGGTTTCTCAAGAATAATTGCATGCCATGCCAGGATCAAAATTGTTGATTTTTTTTTAATAAACTTTAGGTATTCGTTGCTGGACATGCGAAAACGCCATTTCTAACGATGATTGTATCCTACGAGGACGATCAGTGAACTGCTATTCAGATGGGGTAAGGAAATAATTGAATGCCTTAAAGCGACTAAGTTTGTAATCTATCCTACTGAGAAATGTTTTGAAAAAGAAGTCACAAAGTAAATATTATGAGTCAATAACGCCAGTTCCATACAAGTTTACCTGGTAATGCTGAATTAACCAAGTACATTACAGTGTGTACTTAAAAATTTGATGCCTTGAAACACGGATATGATAACCCTACGATCGGATTCTGCTTCGCTCTGCGGTGAAATGAATACGTTGACTGCTGGGCTAGTCGGAGATTGAGTTCTGGGTCTTTAACCAAGATGCCAGTTTAATTTCACTGTATTTTTTAGTATGGTCGTTATTTTTATATTTCAATATGTAACTACAGCTTAATTTTTCGAACCAATTTTTAGTTTTGGACGGTAACAGTTTTCCAGTAAAAATTTCCCGATTTTTTTGTTTTTTAGATGGGCTGCAGTAGTGAAGTTCGATACCACGCAGGATTTGTTTTCAAGATTCAGATAAAGAAAGGATGCAAACAAATTCTTGCATGTGGTAGCGACAAATCTCAGGTACACCAATGATGCTCCTAGTCTTCTACTTGATAGTAGACTGCTAATTTTTAATGTGGAGTGTCTTCCTGTTAATTAATACCATTAAAGTCAATTCGAATCTAAGCATAAGAATAAGTGCAAGCATTTCATCTTTAATACTTACGTGACTTTTGTACGATAATCCAAGCTTTGAACGGTAAGCCATACAACCGCAACTACCAACAATTTGAAATAACACACATCGGTTTTATAGATGCCAATCTTCCACGATCCAACAATTTATAAGAAATGTTGTTTATTGTATTTCACATTCTGGATCTTTTTTTAACCCTTCAAATTAGGAATAGCGCACTATATATTTCATGAACAGTCGCCGACAGATCAATACACAGACCGGTAGGGCAAACTCGTTATTACTGTTTGTATCACAATAAAAAAATAACGTTCAATGTATCTGACCTAATGGATTTTGCATATCAAAATTATAGGATTTTTCGCATCCCCAATTTTCTTGAATTCCGCTACAATGTCAATCAATCGAATAATTTGGTCAACTTATTCAGAATGGCCATGGATGGTACCCGGTTCAATGTAACCCAAAATATCCTGATTCTATTTGCCGATGCTGTTGTCAAACAAGGGATTGCAATAAGAATTTAGTCGGATGTGAACCTCGTAAGTTTATAAAAAAAAATTTTAATTTAGATGAAATTTGCCAAGTTTTTTTCCGTTATGGTTGATTTCAGGCCCGTGGCGCGTATTGTTTGGTCTCAGTTTTTCAGAATACGGAGTTGACTCATCCTTGTCAGATCGTAATCGCTTTTGGTTATAAACTAATTTACATTTACATACAGCAATATTATCTACAAGTAATCTGTTGTAGGATGAAAACATTACATTGTGTACGTTTCGACTACCCACTTTCGAAGTACATAATGGAGCTGAACATAAAAATCACATGAAAATGTCGGTATTAAAATTAATAAACAAAGCGTAAAATTGAAATTGCCTCATTTGCATTGAATTCATATTTGTTCTCAGTCCTCCCATGTGTGATCAGAGGGTTAAGTCTGTTTACGTATAAATTTCTCATACCAGGTATTTGAATGATAAACGACAGAGAATCATATATTTCTAAAAGTCGATTCGACAAATCCAAATCCTCGATAGCAAATCGAGCTCGTTTTGTTGGTATCGTGTACCAAGTGTATCGTGTTCACACATATCCTCGTATGTGGCGTATTCTTGTGAAATTATCTTGAGGTCTCTAGTTCAAAAGATCATATTTAGGTGACAAGGCCAAACAAGATTATCGCAGAAGCTGTGTAACAAATTATATGGACAACGTTCATACAAACAAATAATTCAAATTATAGTCGTAGTCGACGGTATCAGTGGCCATATATACAATATCAGAAAGTTGCAAATCAATAAAATATTCCGAGTTTTTTCTAAATTTTCAGCTCAGCCAGACTGTCGAGAATTAGTTTCACCCGAAAATGGCTACATGATATGTAATAATGAAGATTATCCGACAGCTTTACGATCGACCTGTACGTTTTTCTGCAACAGAGGTAAAGTACTTGCATTTTGCAAAACTATTTGAGCTATGTACGAACACTTCGGGAGCAACCGAACAAGTGAAATGGTGTTCAAGACTCAAATTCTATTACTATTCTTTGAATAAAAACTGCAATAAACTTATAGCACCAAGTTCGAAAATACCCAATTTTAAAAATATTACCAGGATAATTAAAGTTTATATTAAAGAATTTAATTAACTTAAATAATATACGTTTTATGCAGGTTACGAAATGAAAGGAGATCGCAGGACTCAATGTGTGCTACATAAACCGGGGAAGGCAATATGGACTGCCAGTGAGCCTCGTTGTTACAGTGAGAATCTTATATTTGTATAAAATTAGATTAAAATATTTCTTTCCGAGTGAAATAATCCCGTGTAGCTCGAGTTCCAAGATGCTAATTTATCATTATGCGGCTTAACTTACCTATTTTATTGATTCTTGTGCGAGATGAGATTAGAATAAGTTCACGAATCGTTCTAATTTGCGAAATATTTGGTTCATGAAAGTGATGTGTATACAAAACAAATTCAGTCATATAAGTTGAACAACATGACATTGTATTTACACTAAGTTAGTTCAGATTCTGGACTCTTTACCACTACTTACGAACCTTTCACCATGAATAGAAGTTTTTCTTTGCTAAAACTGGATAAAGAAGCGACAAATACATTTAGGCCTTCGGCGTACAAGAATACTTGTTTTACCAGTTGCCAACTAAACACACGAAATGCGGTTTGACACTTCCTGACTAACTAATACTTTAAGAAACAAAAGCAAGAGTAATATAACATTTTAAATGAATGGAATAACTAAAAATACCACGTGCTCAAACTTTAATATACGGGTTTGATGATAGAGAACGGAAAAACCAAATTTTAAGGCAAATTTGATCAATGCTACACAACCGATAATAGTACGCGGAAGTGGTTCATAGTTCCCTTTCTCAACTCATTTATTGGTACAATGGAACGTAGAGAATTTTGCCCCGTGTTGTCGTGAAATCGAAAAGCCGATGCTTTCTAACCTCGAAATAAAATTGGTCGGTATTTCTGTACGAAAATGCGATAATTTTTATTTTTAATTCAAGTACAAAAATGGTAAGTACAAAATAAATCTTTGGGTAAATATGATGTCGCATTGATCATATATAGATGTCTCTTCAGTATTGTGCATTACTTGTCTGTGAATCAACGGAGTATGAGAGAAACATTGAAAATAGGGCAATTTCATCCTAAGTAAGACTCTTTCACGCATTTATGTATTAATGTATTAATACCTTCGCGTTCATATATTTGAGCTTTGCTGTCAAACGTACGATATAAACAATTGATTTTGCCAATAATTGTACTGCGACGGTTTTTTGAAATACAGCAATTGCCCGTCTCTTGTTAGTTTATAATATGTATCAAATTTTATATCAGCAATAATTTGATTTCATGATACTACTTTTTAAGATAAACGATGCAAGCCAATCTACAAGAACACAGTTAGTAGAAGAGTTGAATGCACCGACAAAAATATCGCCGGTAGTGAATGCACTTTCACCTGTGCGAAAGGACATACAATGAACGGCGAGCCAAAGTCTACATGTCGTGAGTTAACACTGACAACGGTTTAAGACCAATTCATAATAATAAACAAACCATCGAAACAAATTATACTTAGTGAAACGTTTATTTATTAACTTCCCTTGCTTGTACCAGACGATTTATTCATCAACATCATTGCGTACAGTTACTGTTATTCTCCAATTCAATAATCATAGCTATTATGCGCTAGCTTGCCTTATAACTGAGTTATTTCCAAATTGAGAGTGTATCCAAATAGTTTAAAGCTGCTCTTATGTTAAAATCAATTAAGAAGCAAATTCGAATAAAAATTGAGAGTGTATCCGAAGAGTTTGAAGCTGCTCTTTTGTTAAAATCAATTAAGAACCAAATTCGAATAAAAAGTCAGAAAATCGGCATTCTGCTCAAGCTAATTTAAATTTGTTGTAATATGTTGTTTTCGAATCAATGGATTTTGGAGCTTTAAATGGTTATACCGTTTTATGTATACAGTTTCGGACTTGAAAAATCTCTTGTGAACATCAACTGTACAACCAAAATTGTGTAATGAGTATTGCTTGTTCAATTTATTTGGATTTTATCAAATTCTTTTTAGTTTATTCAAAAAATTGGGACTACCCGCCACCAGACTGCGTTAAAATTAGATGCCCTCCAGCTATCATACCTCCGCAACATGGCAGTATCGCTTGTACAGAGGGTCATGAATATGGAAGTATTTGCAGGTAATATTGTCTTTATATATATTTGCAACTGATTTTTAACCAAAAACATTATAATTTTGTAATCAACAGATATATATGTGATACTAATTACAAGCTTATTGGAAATGGGACAAGAGAATGCGTACTCAGCAACACGCCTTACTCGGCGTTTGGAGAGTGGTCGGGATCCCTTCCACAGTGCGCTGGTAAGTCGCCAAGCATAGATTGTTAATTTGAATATTGAAATGAAAACCAACAGCACAGCAGTTTTCCCAAAGAGACACAAATAGGAATATGCTCACATGATATTTCGTATATATTTTCTTATCGTTGTTTTCATTTGCATTGACGATAGTCGTTCGAGTATATATATCGTAGATATTTGAGGCAGTATACAACAGTGTTTGGTTCGCTCTTGCCTTCGCACCCGGTAATATTCTAAACAAGCCACCAAAAGAATATTCCAACCTTGGACGGGAATAATTGTAAATTTCATCTTTTTGAAATAGCATATCTACTTCGCTTCACCAAGGATGAGGTGATTGTTGTGTGCTAAATTGATTTACTTTCGTTTCATTTGCCAGCAATTAAATGTGAACCAAAGCAACTTAATCCAACTTCGGGAACAGTTGAGTGCACCGATATGAACTACATTGGCAGCAATTGTAAATATGAATGCAAGAATGACTATGTCTTGGAAGGAATCAATTCCAATACCTGCGTTTTAAATCGAACAAGTGGGGAAGGCAGGTGGACTTCTGAACCACCGTTGTGCACGGGTAAAAAAAATTTAACTTATCTGAAACATTGTAGTAACGTAAATGAAAAATTAAATCTTGAAGAACTGTTATTTAGAAACCATGCAAATCAGTAATATTGTACAGTGAAAAGAACCAGGAATTTATATATATTTTTCTAACCATATGTTTTGTGGCTTTGGTAATAAATATGTAATAGAGATTACAAATATATATTAGAAATAAGCTTTTCATTTCCCCCATATTTTAAACCCCGTCCAGCTACACGTTGTCCTACACTCGATTACAACACAACACGAGGGAAGATCATTTGCTCCAACAAAAATAATGTGGGAAGCATGTGCGCACTCTCATGTAGCGCAGGATCTTTTATCCGAGCACCATCCAGTCCCGATACAATGCTATTCAATTGGATCGTCAGTTGTCTTCATGGTGGAGTTTGGTCTCAGGAACCTGCAGAATGTGCTCCTATCACCTGCTCCCCAGACGTGACGTAAGCTCAAATTTGTCTTGTTTTTTTCTATATATATGGATCTACTAAATTCGAAATTTATTTTACATTTTTTTAAATTTCAAATGGGAGTTAAGTAGTATAGCTCTGGCATAATTATATTATACTCCACCTTTCTGTGTGTCCCGTTTGTCAATATCATTTTTGTTTCAACAGTGCAAACAAAATCCCGAACGGCATTGTGTTATGTAGCGACAAAAACAATTATCAATCAGAATGTCTATTCTCGTGCAATGAAGGCTTTGAACTGGTAGGACAAAAACGAATCACTTGCAGAGCTGCATCGGGGATAGGGACTTCCGGAGAATGGGATAACAAACCTCCAACTTGTAAAAGTAAGTCAATAACACATGTCACCTCTTTGCTAAAACACTTGGTACGTGCTGCTTAAAATATAACCTTCAAGACAATTTGAAATTTTTCAACCATCCACATAAATTGAAATTCTAAGACAGAGACTTGAGGATATTTACAAGCTGTTCAAAATATTTATCTGTAGATATTTATTCAATTTTTCGTAAGTACAATATCAACCAATATATATCATATTATATTTCATTTATTTAAAGTTATTGGATGCCCAGCAATTCCAAAATCAAGAAATGGTATCAGGGTAAGCTGCACCGAAAGATATGAAGAAGGAAGCACATGCTCTTTCTCCTGTAGAGGAGGATACTTCTTGTCCTTGGAAGGTTCTACCCCACATACGAACGGGAAACATTCTATTGAATGCTTAGAAGGGAACGTTTGGTCGGGACCAATTGCAGAATGTCTTCAATTACGTTGTTTGCCAACATTAGGGTATGTTCGAAACAATCTTGGTCATATATGGTAATATAGCTATACTATAGTTTTGTTTAAACGATAAATACAAATTGGTTATTCTGTTGTTTTGACTATTATTCGAATTTGTAGGGCGAGTTGTGGATAATCGTTGTTGAAACATCCAAATTTTAATGGTTGGTTTGAAAATTACAAATGATCTTCGAACGTCAATCTGGATTTTGAGTTTGATTGAAAAAACGTCGATCGTTGTCTCAAAGTGATTCATCTTTATATAAAAACATAATTGCATACGTCGTGGCGCCACTATGATTTTCTGTTCGGCGTCACTAATAGAAACCGAAATGTCAAATATGTATAAATAGCATCGGGCAGGTTGTAACAAAATAAGCGTCAAAAATCGACTCGTTTATTTTTTCAAGTTATTAGACATACCATCTCAAAATACAACTGATTGACACCAAATGTTACATTCATACTCGTTATGATATTCCTCATCACCTTGTCTTCTTTATATACATTACACATACTGTCATTCATCTGAATATTTTTCCAGTGCTGTACCGAATGTAATAGCAAAATGCTCAAACGGAAACAAATTCAAATCAAGGTGCACTTTCTCTTGTAATGTTGCCTACGGATTGGAAGGAAGACCAGTTAGCGTTTGTGGAGAAAATTCTCTTCTTTACGGCGAAGGAAAATGGTCAGCAACAAAACCTTCTTGTATACGTGAGTTATAAGTGTTATTCGTATTATTTATATCTCAAAAAATATTTGCCTATAGCATATCTCGCACATTCTGTTTTTCTTTCCAAATTTTATCAAAAATCCGAAATATTACAAAGACTCCCAACCTCCAACTCAAATATTCTTTCATATTTATACATCGCTTTGATTTTAACTTTCCATTGCTAAATAAATGCTTTCTTCTCGTACTATTCAAATTTATTCTTCCGTTCTATAGAACACTCCAGTTTGAGTTCGAAGCAATATGTCATGTACTGCATATATTTGTATTATACCTGAAGGGTGACGAAAAAAATATTAATATATAATGATTTTGAATCTTCTTTCATTTCAGGTAATGGTTGCGCACCAAGATTTGCATCTCCTAAAAATGGTAAAATGTCCTGCACAAATAAAAACCTTTTCAACAGTGCATGTACCTTTTCGTGTAGACCCGGTAGCTATATGAAATCACACGACAACTATTTGATTGAGTCAAATAGCCTTACAATACGTTGCTCCACAGAAGGGGATTGGTCACAAATTCCACCAACATGTCATCAAATAATCTGTAAACCAAGAAACAAGTGAGTCAAATGCAATTGAAATTATAGAGAACACATTTATGATATATATACCAACAAACAAATGCTGTAGCTCTGCAACTCTGCCACTATATTTCAGCTTTTTCTTTTTATTTGAGTTTTAATGTTTTTTCTATATATATGTATATATACACAGGAAACGCTGTTTTACATTTAGATTCTTTTAAAACTGTATAGCTGTGAAACAGAACCAGCAACAAATTACGGTTTACAGTCAGTCGTTTTCTCTAAGCATATACAGTGATGTACATAGAAATTAATGCAATTCCAATTTTCATTTTTTTTTCATCACAAAATCTTTATATCGTTAAATTACAGTGAAGTAGTCTCGAAGGGAAATGTGACTTGCTCTAATGGAAATAATTACAAATCTAAATGCACATACACATGCAACGAAGGATATGAAGTAAACGGAGAAACCGATACAGCGGTGTGTACCGATAAACTAACATCAAGTGCTTTCGGATTGTGGTCAAATGAAAACATCAAATGTCGACGTGAGTACACATTAAAAATCTTAATTTCGACTAGTTTTGAAATGCAAAAATGATTCAAAATTGAACATAAGAAAATTTTAACGTAATACACGCTTTGATGGTTCAAATTAGATAAAAGATAAAATTATAACTTTTGACAAATGGTTTACCAGGTGCTTCATGTATCGTACGACTGAAACCTCCTAATGGCGGAAAAGTTGGCTGTTCCGCAGGGGATGGAGTTGGAAGTGAATGTTTATATTTTTGCTATAAGGATTTTATATGAATGCAACCGGGAAAATTATACGTGACAACAAATTCGAAGTGAAGTGCTTGAAAAATAAACAATGGACCGCTCCGGCGCCACAATGCATACCCATCACGTGTCCTATAAGGTGAAAATATATAAAATCTTGGATTAGAAATACACAAATCGGAATGAGCCTTATTCGACCACGCCTTCTAGCTACTCGACAAGCGGCAGTCTATGAAAATTTACAATCGATTTTCTGTTGTCGAAATTTTGATCGATGTATATTTGGTTGATGTTAGTTCTAACAAAAGTTTCGGGATTGAGAAAACACCAGATATAATATATTATTGTCGAATATTTGTTATACAGACACAAATAACACAGTGATAAGTTGGGTATTCTATTGTAATTTTCCAAAGACTGATGGCAGCAATACACTGACAAAAAATATTCCTATGTCAATATACATTACAACCATCTTATCTACCCGCGCTGTAACAAGATGATACAACACCGATACCCCATCATTACGGCACCGCCGCGACATACCCTGATAAAACTGGATATAGGCAAAATAAAAATTATCGATTAGATTTAACACGTCAAACCAGTTTATAATAACTACTATTTATAACGTATTTTCGAAAGTACATGAATACCTAAAATGCAATCTTGCCAATTTCCAACAATGCAACTATTTGTTCTGCGTGGTGATTATCTTCCTCTTATAAACTGTTTCTGGCTATTATAATCTTTGCGCGTGAGATGGATTTTAAATGATTATGGCGTATGGTAAAAATGCGTTTTCAGCAAATCGGTGGATAGCCATTAGGTTGGAAAAAGCAACCTGAGACCGCCAAAGGCAAAATCCACGTTCGCGTTTTTTTCAATGTTACCTGTTTTGATTAACCTAATTTTTTTTATTGTTTATTAAAAAAATTACTGGTGAAAATAAAGTAGATTCAAAGGCAGAGGATATTAAGACAATAGAATATGTTAGGTGAGATTCGCTTATATTTCATATCTGTACTAACTTTGTGTTTACTGTAGAAACATTCCCAACGGGGATACATCTTGCACAAACGAGAATTTACATATGTCGACGTGCAGACATTACTGCTGCCAGGATACCAATTATCGGGAAAAAACAGCAGCAAATGTTTGCCACCAGGAAAGAAAGGCAGAATTGATGTCGGAACATGGTCAGAGAATTTCCATCTTGCAAAGGTAACATGCAAAGATCTTTAGAGTGGGATTATTTCCGCTTTTACAAATTTTTGTGTCTCGTGAAATTCTTTTCAGAACTTGTTAGGATGAAAATCCATGTAACTAAGTCATGAATGGGCTATAATTGAATTCGATGCATTACCCATATTTATTTTTCCAAACTACTCAAATATGACGACTGTCCTTTACGTTTATAGAACTACAATGCAACAGGCGGTCGATCAATGCGCCGAAAAATGGTTTTGTTCTCTGTTCGGACGGCGCACGGTTGCGCTCTACGTGTGAATTTATTTGCGATGTCGGATTTTCTCTGAGAGGGGAGCAGTTTCTCATATGCGAATCTACTATCGAAGGGAAGTTGAAATGGAACAGCTCACCGCCAAGATGCACTAAAAATCCGAAATGATTCAACTCATTTCTAAAAATAGAATATTGGTTTAAAAGACTTTAAGAAGCCAGTGTTTATCATCAATAATTTCTCTATTTTTGAGATATCAGATTTTTCTACAGATAATTTATTTTAAACCTTAAAGTTGAAGTCTGTCTTTCTACTTATTTTCCATCAACACTTCCGACAACACTAACATTAATTTCTTAGGTTTCCTATTAATATATATATTGTACCCGATATATTCAGAAATTATGAAAACTTTTTGTTTTACTACATAAAGTTAGCCTTATCTTTTACGGACGACTTCAGTAACTGATTCAAGTAATTAGATGACTAAATATATTCAAAGATTTTTGTGGATAAAAAATTCAGATTTAACTAGAAGTTCTATTCAATGTACAATTCATTGTCTCAATTTGTATCTAAAATGCTCCTTTTTATTCGTGCATTGCATTTATTTAGCATCCGCTAAATTAAAATAGCTGCAATTGTGCATGTACCCTTTTTGTGAAGTTCAGAAAAAATTAGGATATCTCACAAAAACTAATGGTTAAAATTATTAAGATAAATTTTCATTTTCAAATACAAATTACGGAATCTGCGGTTATATCGGAACATGGCCAGTTACGCCATAACTTAAGTTGTAATGTTCGGCTCTTTTAGTTTGCAATAGCACCAAACATCACCGTCTATTTGTGTGTACGTGTGCATTGTAACGCCACCAGAAGTAATTTGTACAAATGAGATACCGATGGCTCAAAACTTGAGGCGGGTTAAAATCAGAGTGACCAGAAAAAGTTAAGTGCCAAGCTTTAGCGCGATGTAGGACCCAAAAGTCTAGGCCACTGTTGGGCAGCCGCGAGTTGGACTGAAATCAATTTTTTGAATACTCTCCAAATGGCTCCAGTCACTAAGAAGAAATGACGTCTTCTTAAAATCGACAATTGGGAATAGAGACTTGACATGAGTCCCCATGACACTTTTTGGTGGGTCTTCGAAATGAAAAAAATTTCTTTCGGAAGTTATATATGTATATATCACTCAATGATTTATTAAGAGAAGCTTGCTTGAATTAACTATAAGCATACCGTATAGTTTTTCCGTCAATTTTAACTAGGTTTATTATGACTCTTCTTAGACATGACTCGCAGATTTGTTGACTTTTAGCCAACACTAGGTTAAACAATCTAGGTCAGGTGTACGACAGTATAGCAGAAAATATGAACCAGCGTATCTATATGTAAACCTTAGAAGTCGTGCTCGCAAAATCTCGCGATAGGGTTGGTAACGTTACATACAAATACAGCCAACAGTATGCATATACCGCCAACTTAATGTACAAATACAGCCATTTGGGCGACATACAAATATTTTGAATTCATTTCATAAGCATGCAATGAATGTATATATAAGCTGTACCAATGCGATTGCCTCGACAATTTATAGTCGCGTTACAATACATAAAAATCTGCAGCCCCAGGCTGATGAAGATGATATATGTGAGGTCGCTATCTTGTAAATCATAATACTCCACAACAGCTGATCGCTCATATAAACAAACGGCTGTATATGTATATTTGGTTGGCTAATTTTATATATAACTTTGGTACGTATCTCAATTAAATCACAGTATATGTATATTGAGTTGATGACGAAACACATATGACATTGGTTGTATATGTACATGGTATGAATCGCCCTTTGTATATTAAATTGGCTGTATATGCATATGACATTGACTTTGTATGCACATCGCTCGAAATACAGTCAGGCATATCTGAATGTTTCGTTAGCATACTTTCGTCCCATTTAAATCACAAACGTTTGCTTTTGTTTGAGTTAGAATATGGATTAGGGTCGCCGTGATGGGTAGTTGTTAATTTAACTAGATATGTACGTTAGTAAGCAAGTTGACTGTGTTGAGAGTAGTTTAAGCCGGGATATGGATTGGGGGTATATGAGAAGGTTTCAATTAGTAGTCACAATTTGCGGATTGTTTTTTGGAATTGGGGCAGTGTTCAAAATTATGAATAGAGACTGAAATGCCGCGCCTGTAAAACATAGTCAATAGTAGTTGAGCTAGTAGTGAGCAACCTTCTGCAGAAAATATGATTCAATAAAAATTTGCCATCATGGAAGACAGTTTGTCGTTCATTGTATCACAGTAGGCTATTTTCTTTTCAAAATAGGATTACTCCTCAATTTTCGTTCAAGGTACCTCGGGCGTTTGGTAACACTGCTGTCAGCAGCGGAAGTCACAGCAGTAGAACGAGCGTGAATATTTTGCCTACTGAATGATTGAACTCGTTAACGATATTTCTGCTGTTGTTCCCTTTGAGCTCTCAAGAATTTTCCATAAGGCGTATTTGCAGCCGCAGCCTTTTTCTTCACAAATCCAACAAGTTCTTTAATTAAAGCTCACTTTCTTATTTTGACCGTCTAATTGCTATTGATTCTTCCCAATTGTTCTGCAACTGAGAGGAAGTCATAATACGATGGACAAAATAGTATCGAAATTATCCGAATACCCAACTATTTCAAATGTGTCTACCCACAAGCATTGATCGACCGTATGTCTTTTTGAGCAAATCGCATTCTTCTAACTTTGTACCTGTATCATGTACTCTTTGATCAATATTTAGGTTGAAGTTAGTGATAAACCAGACATATTCAGTCTCCACTGAAATGCAATAACTCAATCGAGGTCCATCAATTACATCTTGCAACATGTATGGCATATTGTCCAATAAACTTTCCACATTCGGTGCTGATGGATCATGCATGTTTCTTGTTGGGGGATGTGTGCCTTTGTGTACAGAGGTCCGTTCAAAGATTCATATGAATCAGAAATATTCACACTGATAGAAGGTCGCATGTCAACAATAGAAGCAGGTATTCTAACATTATTTCTACCCCCTGCATATTTTGGTTCTTCTATCTCAAGAAATCAAGCGAATGCTATTCTCGATGTAAAGACACCGTTTAGAAATTTTGGAATGTCGAGTATTATTGCGACTCACTCGTAATCTAAACACCACCGCGGATTTTGTGTTTTAGTAACCTATATAGTAAAGCAGGGTGGTCCAAGATTGGCAGCTCCGCGGGCCAAAAAATTACTTTTGCATTGTTCGCGGGCCACAATAGTGCCAAGAACTTCGCTCGTTCAACTTTGCTAGTTGCTCAGCAAGTCATAACACTAGTCAGTGACATTAGTGATGCAAAAATATGTCAGAAAAGTTTTTGGTTGATTTTATGACGAAACAACACGAAATGCGATTTTTTGATTCCTCTCCGAATGCGACGCGGGCCACATGTGGCCCCGCGGGCCTGGGTTTGGACCACCCTGTAGTAGAGCATGCAGATCGGTGCGTTATTCAACAAAATTATTCCGAACATATTAGTTGAAATATTTTGAGCTCTATTGAACTGTCTCTGAATTGATCTCGGATCTTAGTTACAGTATTATTTGGTATAATTTAGAAAATATATTTCAGTTTCCAGGTTTCTAAATGGAATTAGTATTTTTCATAGTATATATATATATATTTACATATTAAAATGTATAACATAAATCCTAAAAAAATGGAGTCTATCTGTTACCTTTGATTGGGTTTGTTAGCCCACGTCATTTGCAATACAAGCAACAAGCTCGTAATTTTTGAACATTAAATTTAAAACTGTTATGTGTTCAAAATAAGTTCTAGGAAACACTTGGAATCATACATTGGGCTGTTCCTTACTGAGTCATCGTGACATAGAATAGACTTATATAGAAAACCCCAACGGACCCAACACTCACGCAGGGCAATCAGACGTCTGAAGTTTATTGCTAACGCTTAGTACGATGCGTCATACCGCCGAGTCATCCGGAATAAAACGCCCGAATATTTTATTGTCAGTCGAATGAGTTATTGACGAAACATGGTTCTTATTGTGTGTGAAAACTCAGCTAACTGAGTGGGTGATGGATTTTATGTTTTCAGTAGTTGATATGACATGGGGACCCATTACAATAAAAAGGGCATATACAATTGCATATAACTTCCAGCTATTAGAAGTTCGGTACTCCTGTAATATGTGAACCAAGATGGCGAACACCGGAACGTAGTATGTGTACCAGGTTCGGGTTAGACCATAATTTTAGGTACAAATACTACGGGAGTCACTTGGCTAGTCCCCGAACTCACAATATAACTAAACTATGGGAAATTGAATAAAATTATGACCTAACCCTAACCTGGTACAGGTACTGCGTTTCGCTGTCCGCCATCTTGGTTTACATACTTTTGGAGCGCCCAAAAAATCAACTCTATTCGGAATGATATTGAATTAGATTTTGAAAATTCTCAGGCATTTAAAAATGCTTAGCCCTAATTACACTCCTTCGGGAATATCTGCTTAACTTAACTAGATGATATTAAACATAAGCAACGCGTTAAACCTTTGAGAATCCAGACAAAATCAACTCTATTCGGAATGATATTGAATTAGATTTTGAAATTTCTCAGGCATTTAAAAATGCTTAGCCCTAATTACACTCCTTCGGGAATATCTGCTTAACTTAACTAGATGATATTAAACATAAGCAACGCGTTAAACCTTTGAGAATCCAGACAATATCCGCTTAATTTTTAGGAGCCATGTATTTTAAACTAACTTCCTGGGCGCAGGGTCGTTACAATTCTAAATTGAACCAGTATTCATACCCGCGCGTTTTGTATTGTAACTTCTGGTGTCTAAATTGGTCTCTGATTGAGCGAATTAGATAAGTATCTGACTCCAAAACAGAATATATAGTAGGTTACGTGTTCAAATTGAGATATCTGTTAATTTTATATAACAGTAAGGATCTGACCAATTTGCCTGTAAAGATTTTTATTTCCACGGATAATATATCACAATAAATTTACTTACAATAAAACACACTCACAATCGTGAAAACCAAGTCGATGATGAATTAGCATTGTTGTATCGAACGAATTGAAATAGAAGAAAAAAGCCGGTTGCTGTATCGAACGAATTGAAATAGAAAAGCCGGTTGCTGTATCGAACGAATTGAAATAGAAAAGCCGGTTGCTGTATCGAACGAATTGAAATAGAAAAAGCCGTTGCTGTATCGAACGAATGAAATAGAAAAGCCGGTTGCTGTATCGAACGAATTGAAATAGAAAAGCCGGTTGCTGTATCGAACGAATTGAAGTAGAAAAGCCGGGTGCTGTATCGAACGAATTGAAATAGAAAAGCCGGTTGCTGTATCGAACGAATTGAAGTAGAAAAAGCCCGGGTGCTGTATCGAACGAATTGAAATAGAAAGCCGGGCAAACCACGATCAAAAATGTCTATTTAAACGTAACATCTTCATATCGCTCGCCAAAAACGGTACCTTTCCTTTATTATCCAAAAATCTCGTTTCCCACGGAGCAATTTTTTGCTCATATCTAGAATGTTCGGTAGCACTTCTTACAATAATTACACTTGTTTATTAGGTTACCTGACATGGGAATATCATTTTCCTCATACACGAGAAAGATCTAGACTCAATATTTCGAATGATCTAGAAGATCTCTTCAATATTTCGGTTGTTGTTGGGTCACCGACATGGAATATCATTTTCTCATACACGAGAAAGACTAGAAAGATCTCTCAAATATTCGATTACGTCAATTATTATATAGAATTTGACTTCCATTATCCAAATTATTGGTTAATTTGTTAGCACATTCCTGGCACCGACAAGTGAAATATTTTAAAAGCACATATTAAAAATTAACCCGATAATTGTAGAAATATAAGAAATGAAATCGAAATTATCATGACAGTAATCAAATCTCGTAACTTTTGAAAGATGGCAATTTGAAATGTCAAAGTAATTTGTTTGAAAACTGTCGGATGAAGAGCAAAACATCCACTACGAAGAGCAAGAAAAAATGGTCGAGTGTAATTAATGCAATAAGACATAAGACTCAGAAACGACAAAGACAAATTCCTTAATTTTGGTTATTCAAAATGGCAAATTGAAAGATTTATATACAAGAACTAAAAACATGAAATTTGAGCACTAATTATACATGCAAGAATTAAAAACATACAACTTAAGAACTCATTGTAGCCCCATTTATTATGATTCTGACTTGGGGTCTTTTCAAATTATAAGGATGAGACATTTGTATTGTGAAAGGCATTTGAATTGTGCAATTCAGTGAAACAGTAATGGTATTATTATACCTTCTTCTCACCTACACGACTTTCAAAATTGTGAGCACTTGTTTAATGTACGATTTACTATTAGATAAATTAGGCGATAATGACTTTAAAAAATGAAGAAAAGATGGTTTATTGATTCCCAAAAACAAAAAAAATCTTACAATATGACTGTATTGTAGGTCTTTACGTTATCAGTGTTAAACCTTATTAAACATAAGGCTTTTTGGTAGGTCGTTACGTTTCAGTGATTGCAACTAGGTAGGTCTTTACGTTTCAGTGATTGCAACTAGTATTGTTACTACTCATTCTACATTTAATTGTCTGTACCATTTGCAATAAAAATGGGGGGGGGGAAGATTTAGATGTAAAACACAATAATTTGTCATGAAATTTGAAAAATACAATCAAATAGACGAGCGTTGTAAAACCAATAAAAGAATGCAACAATAAAATTAATTTTGAGACATCGGTACCGTGATATTTCCTATTAATCTCATAAATTCAATAAACTGCAGAAAGAATTAAGATAACTTTTGTGAAAACTTTGTGCACTTTATTTGGAGATAAAACTTGGTGGAGAAAACAAAAAAAAAATGATTGGAGTACTCCATTTGGGGAATCATTGGTTGAAAAAAAATGATTGAGGGAAAAAAATAAGGCTTAAAAAACTTGTGAGCCTTTGGATCCAAAAAAAAAAAAAATGTTAAAAAAAGGTATTTATTTTCTTGATTATAATTTCTTGATTATGTAACCTGTCATTGTCTTTTATCAGGTCATAAGTTTTGTTTATCGCCGCGAGCGCTATAAATTTTTATTTATTCGCTTCCGCTATCCGACACGAGATTTAAGACCTCGACATTTCCACCATTGCTTCTGAGGTGTTGCATAGCATTGGCCCTCTCGTTTGCTGGGGGAGCTCTTTGCACCGGTGCCATAGGACGAGCTGTGGATGATTGGCCGATGGGGGTTCGGCTTCTGGCTCCGCCACGGGACGACCAGAGACGGTCCCATCTATCCCTTACTGGGGTACGCGTGACTCTCGGTTGGTGGTGGACATGCGTACCTCTGGAATGATTTCCGTTCGGTTCACGGGAGCGGGTACGTCGATATCTGGGGCCTTCCTGTTCTCTCGGAGTGCTTGTACGTCTGTCGGGAGGAGAGGGACGCCCCCAAAGATTCTATCCCTTATTCTTCTCCCGACAGAACTTCGGATTCCACTTCCAGCCAAAGTTACAGTCCTGCCGTAAGCAAAAATAATAGACAGAATTAGCCCGATCAGTATTACAATGGCAAGGAATTTATTGCCTATTCCACTAAGAAAAGATATCAATATTTTTTTAATATGTTTAGCTAGTATTTTCAGGGGAAGTGCAGGATTAGCACTAGTTGTTTCCTGTTCGTCATTAAAAGAATTGGCATAGTCAATTAGACTTTTAGTAAATATGGAATTCTGGCTTATGGACATTAGCATTGAATCTATGTCGTTAGAACGCGGTACGTCGTTCTTGAAGAATTTTGACAATGAAGTAAGATAATTTGTATTGTAAGGATTTATTTTCTTAGTTGTTAGGTAAGGGTGAATTTTCTTTGGGTTTGTGGTTTTGTTTTGTAGAATTCCCTTTTGATAGCTATAATAAGTGTTATTCATTTTAAAGGTAACGAACTCCTGTGGTTCGGTACTATAAAAGTTTATACCTGGAAGAATTCTTCCCGAAGACAAGTATTGGGCGATAACTGTAGTGTTAGTGTTATCAGTATAGTTAACTAAGGGACGAGTAGAATATAACTCGTTAGGTAATATTAGACTATTTAAGAGACTCGCTTTTATGGGTTGACACAAAAGGGTGCCCAGCACGTCGCCTCTGTTAACCGCAAAGAGATTATTTGTTCCCAAAATTTCGTTCAACACATCCGACGGGTACGTTTTCGCTAAAACTCTATAAATTTTAGATAATATTCGTTCGGTCTCACATTCCAATTTAAAGATTTGGCTCTGTAATTTCGCGGACAGAGCGGTTTGTGAGTCTGCGACATTTTGTATCATCAACGTTAATGCCGTCGAAATGTCTGCGTGATCAGCAAACTCACGTAACACGTTGACTTTCTTTAATAAACTACAATTCTTGACTTGAACCAAAAGTTCGTTTTCAAGGCAGAAAATACTGCCAAAGCAATCAGTCGTTAATTCGTTACACACTGAAAAGGAATGAAAGGTCATATGTAAATCGTTTAGTTCTACAGCATATATGTCATTAGTGTTGTTTACATGTGCAGTTAGCGAAGAGTTTATTTCCTCCGCTTTGTTTGGACATTTTTCGAATTTTGCATCGTCAAATAAAAGTGTATAACTACCAATTTGGCAGGAAGATTGATTTACAGAGCAATTTGCGCTGTCAGCTAGAGGAAAAATAATTTTTGAGTTTAGATGGTCATACATTACATAGGATGTTAATAGGGCAATATTTTCAGTTGTTCCGGAATCAGTTGTGGGCCATTTATAGTTGATAACCGGTTTATTCTCGGTTACCCATAGATCATTGGTTTTCTGAACAAACTTACCGAATTGATTCGATTCGTGAGTCTTAAACCAGTTTCTGCAATTTTGTTCGGACGAAGGTACTCCTGATTTTATTTTAGTAAAGTGAGTCTTAGCTCCAAAGAAATAAAAGTGACTTTTCCATTCAGTTATACTAGTTTGGCAAGCTCTAATTGGAATTTTAGTATGCAATTTAGGTGCGTGATAGACTTTAGCTTGACATTTCACTATGTGTTCGGATTTGTGTTGTTTGCAAGACTTATCATCCGATATGTCGTACTCTTGATTGATTTTGTCATTTTGGCAGATATAGCCATGAACCTCTGGATTTCCAAAACATAGCCATGGTAATTGCATAAAAACTAGAAGTAATAGTATAATGGATAAATACCTGAATTCTTGATAAAATTCTTGTCCCACCATCCTGCCACGTTTCAAATAAATGATTTCTCTATCGGATTTGTCGGTCCGGGTTATTTCGTCATTGTCCGAATTTTCCTCTTCCTTTTCCTCTAGACTTCCGTCTCTGCCTGTCCATACCGGTCTGGCGGACGTACTGTCCGGCCGTATCTGGTCTTGGGCTGGTTCTCCTTCTTCCATAGGATGTCCTCTGTCGTTGGACTCGTGAATTCTGAAATAAAAGGTTCATTGTTATTCTTGGGAGTAATTACTGTTTTTATTGGTGGTTTTTCAATTTCAGTGAGAAAATTTTGGTTTTCCACGTCATGTTTTTGTTCAGGACGTTCTTCCTTATCTGTTTCAAAAATAGTAATTTCAGCAGGTTTTAATTGGTTAATAGAAACTCGTTCTATACCCTTATTTTTTTTTATAGTGAAAGCAGTCTTATTTCGAAATATCACTTCATATGGCCCCTGATAGTTGGGTTGCAAAGACTTTTTTACGTGATCTATTCGTTGAAACACATGACTACAAGTGAACAACTTTGGTGGAATATATACATTAGACCTTAATTTCTTTCTTGTTGGAAGAGCTTTAAAATTTCCAAAAAAACGTTTTAATTTAGAAACATAACTGTAAGGGTCAAAATCTTGGGTTATGTCAGAACTTTCCACTAATTCTCCAGGGAGTCTCAGTGTTCTCCCATATGCAAGTTCGGACAATGAAAATCCGTTTAATTTCGGAATGGACCTCAAACCTAAAAGGACGTATCCCAAGTTTGATGACCATTCACTAGGGTTTTCCTGACACTTCAAACCAAGTTTTAATTCTCTATGAATTCGTTCTATTTGTCCGTTTCCCTGCGGCATATATGGCAATGAAAATTTATGTTTTATTCCTAAAAAATTCATAAATTGAGCCCAATTTTTACTTCTGAAAGAGGAGTAATTGTCACTCTTAAGGAGAGTTGGACACCCAAATCTGGCAACCCAATGCAATAAAAATGTATCTATAAGAGTTGAGGCGGTCAGATCACATATCGGGATCGCCTCTATCCAACGTGTGGTACGGTCAATCATCGTAAAAATATAAGTAAAACCTTTGCTTGGTACAAATGGTCCAACAATATCTATTTGAACCTCTGAAAATCTTTCATTAGGAATAGGAATAGATGACAGTTGAGATACAGTGTGTCTAAAGATCCTGTTTTTCTGACATTTCAAACAAGATTTCACATAATTTGTAATATCTGCATGCATTTGTGGCCATACGTAACGTTCTGAAATTAAATTATTGGTGCTTTTAATACCTGGATGACAAAGGTCATGTATTTTGTCGAAAATTCTCCTACGTAAAATCTTGGGTATTATAGGTCTAGCTTTCTTATGTTCCAAGGATACGTCACATAGAATAACTCCACCCATGTTGTCTATGGCTATTTCTGCAAGCTTGAGTGAATGGCCAGAGTTTGCTTTTAAACTTTGTATTTCTTTACAGTTTTCTTGCTCTTTAGCTATTTCCGTTAAAGGAATGGCATCTTGTTGTTGATAAATAATATTTACAGTTTTATTTTCTAGAACATTTCCATTTTCTATCACAGATTTATTCTCTACTCTACACACGTATTATCAGTTCCGCGGTTACGTTGCTCAGATGGCGTTATGTCAGACATCGCGTCAACGGTTTTACACGCTTCACCGGTTCCTTGCGTCTGCTGTCTGCTTGCGTCGGCTGACGTTACGTGCGTCATTGCGTCGACTGATTTATTCGCTTCACCGGTTTCGTGCGTCTGTGGTTCGGATGACGTTATACGCTTCGCTGCGTCGTTGTCCTTGACGACCGCTGTTTTTGCTTCGCGCGTCTCTATTTCGTCCATTGTATTAGCTTTTTCTGTATTAATTTTATCATTACTTTGGCTATCATTATTTACATAGCGAGAAATAAAATCGGCCACTGGATTACTTGACCCCGGTATGTGAGAAAACGAGTTTGTCATACTTGTGATGTAATCCAGTTGACGGTTTTCTCTGTCGCTGGGTCTATTTGTCGGATTATTTAGTGCCTGAATTAACGCTTTGTTATCGGATAATAATTGAAATTGTCGACCGATTAAAAGATTTTTAAAGTACTTAATGGTTAAGTAACAAGCCATTAGTTCTTTGGAGAAAATAGTATAGTTTTTCTCTCGCTTGTATAGAGTTTTTGAAAAGAACCCCAAGGGCTGGTTTATTCCGTCAACATATTGTGTTACGGCCCCTGCAATAGCAGACGAACTTGCATCACATATTACCGTTATTGGCACATCAATTCTTGGGTGTGCTATCATGCATGCGTTAACCAAACACTCTTTGATTTTATGAAAGGCAGCATCACATTCTGCTGTCCAAATTGGTTTTTGACGTTTGCGGTTTTTATCTGAGACTAATTGAGTAATCGGATAAATTATCTCAGAATATCTGGCTATATGTTTCCTATAAAAATTGCACATGCCTATGAATTTGCGACATTCTGTAATTGTTTGTGGTACTCGAAATTTTTTAATAACCTCGACTTTGTCTCTGATTGGTTTTATTCCCTTTTCATCAAGTTCGTAGCCTAGATAAGAAAGATTTGACTTTCCAAACTCGCATTTTTTTTAGGTTTAGTGTTAAACCATAGTGGTTTAGTCGTTTAAATACTTGATCGGTTACTTTCAAGTTTTCCTCTTTTGTTTTAGTGTAAATTAGTAAATCATCAAGATAGACAAAAACATTTTTCAACCCAAACAAAACTTTACTCATGAAGTTAGAGAAGGAACTGGGTGCGGAAGCAATGCCAAATGGCATCATAATGGGAATATACTGAGCATTCGCGACGCTAAATGCACACTTATGTCTATGTAACGGATTAAGTTTGATATTTGAGTAAGCCGATTCAAGGTCGAGTTTAGTAAAGATTGTACATCCGGCGAGTTCCGACGTAAAATCTTCAAGTCTCGGCAATGGGAATCTTGGGATTCTTGTAATCAGATTCAAACGTCTATAATCAAAAGTCAAACGAATTGAATTGTCCTTTTTAGGAACTACGTTCAGCGGGCTACAATACGGGCTAACTCCGCGAATTATATCTCCGTTTTCTAATAATTTATTTATCTCGTCGTCTACTTGCTTCTTATATTTGAACGGAACCGGTCGGTCTTTTGTATAAACTGGAGGTCCAAAAGTTATAATATCGTGTTGATAATTATGATTAATTCCTCGAAATTTTGCATGTTTCCGGATTAAAATTTCTGGATATTTTTGCAATAATAATTGGTATTCCTTATCTATTGTTTCCGGTATTAAGGTTAATATTGGCGCACCACTTAACGTATTATGACACGGAATTGAAAAATCGTCTGCTCTATTAGTTAAACAATTGTTTGCTAAGTCTATTACCAGTTTATTTTTAACAAGAAAGTCTATTCCAAGTATACCATCAAATTCTATGTTTGCTAACACCCAATTATGTGTATATTTCACCTTATCTGCCAAGCAAATTTCAATTTCGGTATTGCCCACTACGGTTAATTTTGTGCCATTTGCCGTAATCAGAGGTTCATATTTTCGGTCACGAATAATATGTGTACCGGGATTATCTTCGGAAAGATTTTTTATGGTTTTAAATTGATGTAACTTTTTGGCATTTAAAATACTATAAGTTGATCCAGTATCAACTAAAAGTCGATTTTTAGAAAGGGAATCATATACAAAAAATAATTTATTGTTGCTTGACAGAGACGGTAAATTATTTTTATTTAAATTTTCACAATTCTTAAATTTATGTACAGCATTTGTTTTACGAGAGGGTAGACCTTCCGGGCTGTTAAAACCAGAAAAGTCTACCCTTCGGCTAAAAAATTCTTCTTTCTAGGAAAGCTGCAAGGGGCATTACATTTGACTGCGTTTTCTCCAAATTTATTATGGAAATAGCAGAAATTTACATCACAATTCCGTCTCCAGTTATAATTGTTCGAATTGAAAGTATTCCTAGGATAACCTCTAGCAAACTTCCTCGTTTCAAATTGACGCCTATCTTGAGAATTGTACTGTCTCGCTTGATGCTGCGGAGGGGCATTATATCGATGAACCGGGTTAAATTTTGGTTCGAATCTTGGGCTGTTTATTGCTTTGATTTGGGTATTCAAATTATCAACATTTTTAGCCAGAGACGTTACCAGATCTGTTAATTGCTCCAGTTTATTTTGTCCAGAATTGTCTTTTTGATAGGAACTTGTAACATGGTTCGAATTATTATCTGAGGAATCATAAATTTGCATCGCGCGAGCCAGCAATTTCTCGCATGAATATTTTGCTATATCTGAGTATAAGACGTTGGCTATGTAAGCTGGTAACAATGCTACAAACACTTTCTTTATTAGATTTTGAACTTCTATACTGTTTCTATGTCCCCCAATAAAGGAATCTTTCAAATATTTAAGAATAATATCTGGCCTTTCATTTTGTAATTGCCCAGAAAATATTTTCTGTAATTTTTCTCGAGAATCCGGTGCAAAAATGTCCAACAAAATTTGTTTCAGTTTTTCATAATTATTATTATGTTCATCGAGCGGCATCCTTGCCCTGACAAGATCCAGTTGTGGAGAATTTAAACACCTTAGTATATAGTTTTTCTTTTGCGAATCGCTGACTATTTGATTTTCAGCGAATTCGTTTTCCGTTAAAAAGATCCAATTTTTCACCGAATTTTCCCAAAGTGGTCTCGTGGGAATTCTATGCTTTTCATACAATATTGTTCTAGGTTCAGTTATCTGAGAGATTCTGGAATTTATGCCGTAATTCGGTCCGGAATCTTCTACTCTATCTTTATTGGTCAAAAATGGGTTGTTTGTGTCATTAAATTTCCTAACCGACGGCAATTGAAAAGTTATTCTCTGTCCAGAATCACCTCCCAAATCCTCGCACTGCGTAAGCTCCATATCAACAACAGGTTTTGTTTCCTTTGGGGACGAACTTTGCCAATTACAATTGTCATCTTCACGTTCAATTAAATTTGATTCAGGAATATTCAAATTTTCAAGTCCAAATTCTGTTTCGTCTTCAATATCTCGGCGTTTTGGTATTTCAGGCGTAATATGTGTTAATTGATATGGATTTACACCTGATTGTTCTGATTTACGAGCTTTGCTTCGCGTAAACATTTTTTGTAATTTAGACATTTATTTACCGAATAATCAATATACCATACAACCTTATACACACTTAAGTAAAACCAGGTACAATATTGTAAGAAGATATTACAAACCAGGTCAAACAGTTGATAAATCACACAGAATAGTTAATAGAATAAAATGACTTACGATTGTTGACGATCCATAATAATCCCGACGTTCGGGGTCACCAATGTAACTTCTGGCTGTCTTCGCTTTCTAATTGAGCGAATTAGATAAGTATCTGACTCCAAAACAGAATATATAGTAGGTTACGTGTTCAATTTGAGATATCTGTTAATTTTATATAACAGTAAGGATCTGACCCATTTGCCTGTAAAGATTTTTATTTCCACAGATAATATATCACAATAAATTGACTTACAATAAAACACACTCACAATCGTGAAAACCAAGTCGGTGATGAATTAGCATTGTTGCATCGAACGAATTGAAATAGAAAAGCCGGTTGCTGTATCGAACGAATTGAAATAGAAAAGCCGGTTGCTGTATCGAACGAATTGAAATAGAAAAGCCGGTTGCTGTATCGAACGAATTGAAATAGAAAAGCCGGTTGCTGTATCGAACGAATTGAAATAGAAAAGCCGGTTGCTGTATCGAACGAATTGAAATAGAAAAGCCGGTTGCTGTATCGAACGAATTGAAGTAGAAAAGCCGGGTGCTGTATCGAACGAATTGAAATAGAAAAGCCGGTTGCTGTATCGAACGAATTGAAGTAGAAAAGCCGGGTGCTGTATCGAACGAATTGAAATAGAAAAGCCGGGCAAACCACGATCAAAATGTCTATTTAAACGGTAACATCTTCATATCGCTCGCCAAAAACGGTACCTTTCTTTATTATCCAAAAATCTCGTTTCCCACGGAGCAATTTTTGCTCATATCTAGAATGTTCGGTACCCTTCTTACAATAATTACACTTGTTTATAGGTTACCTGACATGGGAAATATCCATTTTCTCATACACGAGAAAGATCTAGACTCAATATTTCGAATGATCTAGAAAGATCTCTTCAATATTTCGGTTGTTTATGGGTCACCCGACATGGGAAAATATCCATTTTCTCATACACGAGAAAGACTAGAAAGATCTCTTCAATATTTCGATTACGTCAATTATTATATAGAATTTGACTTCCATTATCCAAATTATTGGTTAATTTGTTACAGTATCCCTTAATTGACACAACATGTTTGTTTGCTTTCGTACGACGGCCAGTACAGTTTCAGCAAACAACCTCATGTATTTTGGCATTGAAACAGACAAGATATTTTGTAGTGAAGGGACTGCTTAAATAAGAAATAAGGCTAGCTGATCAATCTAAATGTAATCTGAGAATATTACTAGATGCGTACATAGATTATATGTATATGCTATTATAATTTTAGATAGAAAACGTTAATTTAAATTTAACGCAGTAAGATCAGAATGCCTATAAAATCTAAGCATATGACTTTTGATATTCCCGAAGTAACCTTGAGCAATTTTTTTCTGTCGGGTATCAAGGAATATGGCGACGATGTCGCTTTGGTAAGTAGCATTTCATTTCTTTGTATGTTTGTAAACCCCGAGGAAGCAAGGGCATAATCTGATTGTGTCAACAGCAACTATTGTAGTTTTGGAAAGCAAAGGTACTTACTTGTCGAGAATGTGACAAGTTGATGCTTTTAATTACTCCAGCGTCTCCCAAATGTAGCTTGCGAACCTACGATACTCCGTGATCGACACACAAATAATCCGCCACGGATTGGCAAAAAGATCCCATTCATCTTCTTCTAGGGTCACGAAAAAATTCACCCCGTTAAATCTCAACAGTGGTCAATTCGTAACGTGTCGAGCAATGGAAAATTCTGGTTATTTAATCATACCAGACGTATGTGGAAGAAGTAACCATCGGCGTTTTCTAGTAAGCCCAAGACAGGAATGGGCAAACACAGCACAATATATAAACTATGAATCGTTAATATAATAAAATATCTTTATTTATCTCCGGTTCAACAATGTCAGCCATCATTAAGTTCGACATCATCATAGTGAATGGGAATAGCAACCGTGACGGCACAGTAATTCTCTTGCATAAACAATTCTCTTGCGGTCCTTTGCATAAACATTCCCAAATGCGGTTCTTTCCAAAAAAATTTGCCCACCTTTGAAGTGAGGTCAAAATGTACTTTCTTTTGTTGTTGTTTTGTCCTCGTGAAGTTTAAACCAAATGTATATACATATTTGATATTTGTGTGTTCCAATTATGGCCATGTCCGCGAGTCAATGAAAAGAGATGGATTGTTGTAAGAATACCATCAAAAATGTATATATATGACCGAAAACATTTCATTTTCACTAGTATAATTACTAACGCGTTACCGCACTTTAAATGACCACGGTACCGATGGCGAATATGAGATCCTGTCGCCATTTTATTGCTCTTCTGCGTGGCGGACTATAACTATATATCTCCTATCCTCTTTCGTGTATAATTTTTTGGAAACATGCATAATAGAGGTTGAAAACTATGAAATTTCCTAAATTTTTGTTTTACATCAGATCGATAACATCATCGAAGAAAAGATACTCACTTTCAGACAAATTCACGAACAAATACAATCCTGTGGGAAATTTTTTCAAAAGCAAAATATAGGCAAAGGCGATGTTGTTGGCCTGGTTGTTCCGAATTGTGTGGAATATATAATAGCAATGATGGGAGCGATATGTTGTGGGGCAGCTATATCACCTTGTAATCCATTATATAAAAAAGGTGGTTTCTTTTCATTTACACTTCAACGAAGATAATTAGCAAAATATTGAAAACTTTCAGAAATGATTCGATCAACTTCTAACATATGCGTGCCATTAAAAAAGGTATTTAAGATTTTTTGTTTGATTTGCAGGGGAAATGCAGCATATTTTTAAAATTACTGAACCAAAAGTACTTATCGTATCCGAGAAAAGCATCGATATTGTGAAGCAAGTTCTTGAAAATAACCCAGCGAATCAAGTTCAAGTACTCAAATTTATTGTTTTAATAAGTCGGTAAAACGTAATTTGAAGTAGCTTTTGATTATCAAACAAATATATGTGTCATCTCATATATAATTGGCGTTAAGACAATGGGTGTACGTAAAAGTATTTGTTATTGTTTTAGAAAATCATAGTTCATGGGACTAGCAATGAATTTGTAACCTGGGATGAAGTGATTCTGTCAAATAATGGGAATAAAGGTAAAAAATTTCAAATAGTATAAAAATGTTACTTTGAAATGTTACCTACAAGTTACTCATAATTTATTCTAGAAAACTTCGTGCCTACTTGCAAAATATCACCAAAGAAAGATTTGGCCATCTTACCATACTCAAGTGGAACTACAGGAATGCCGAAATGTGTTATGCAAACTCATAAGAGTATGGTCGCGACGATGTTAAGTTTTTGGTAAGGATATTAACAAGGCTTTGAATTTAGTTCTTTAAATTAAGGTCATTGGCAAATAAAATAATCAGTAAATAGTAGAAATCCCTCCAGATTACTTGGAGATGCGTGAAACTGTTAAACAATTAAGCGTGCTTTGCGATGGAATAAAAAAGTTGACAGTGATTCGACTTGTGACTGTGATTCGACTTCCCAAAGAATAATTGAGATTTTAGACTTTCTCTTGCGCGAAATTCATCGTATAATCATTTTAATAATATTAAGAGTAACAGGCGCAGTTAAATAGGTATGATTATTCGAAACTCTAAGCATGGGCTAAAGGCGGCGCAAGCTGGTTTTACCTCTTGCGTAAATCATAAATGCATCGTAATAATTTTGGCTCGATTTAAGGCATCATTTTGGCTATAAGCGAGGAGAAACTTACTACAACGAAAGACCGATGTTTCACGGAGGTGGTTTCGTACTCGTGTTGACTGCACTACGAGGTGGTTTACGTGTAGTTATGGATCAAGAGTTTACCGTTGAAGGAACTTTATCTGCCATACAAAAATACAAGGTGTGGTAGATTAGAATTGTCTTGTCGTTTTACGTAAAAGTGTAGCTGTATCGCTAGGATTGTCAATGGGACTTAGTTTTCTGTCCCATCCCATAGCAACTTACGCCAATAAATATTATAATTTTATGAAAATTTTTATTTAGTGGCGTCCAAGGGATGTTACACCTGTGGCGCTTCCCACGAGGTGAAATGTAAGGGGCAGTCTTTTTCGAATACAAGTGAATAATTTGATGTTTGATTAAGGTCTTTTATATTACGAATACTTGTTCTACTGTGGCGAAGCATGAGATGGCGGAGAAAATTTCGATTGTCTGGGATGAGAGGAAGGCAGTTAACATATAGACATACCATGACGTCACTGTTTACAAATGAGATTCAATAGGAATCATCAGGTTGCGTTAGAGTTAGAAGAAGGACTGCGAGCGACAGTGAAAAATATGATACTCAAAGGCGTTAAAACTCGGCCAATTCGCCAGTATAGCCCTATCATACAGTCGACGTGACATGCCGCACTAGAGCTAGTTGGAATCAAATGGTTTTTATATGGAGAAGAGAATACAACAATGAATATATTTATCATGTATTCCAAGGCATGTCAAAAAACGGCTCTCCCGCAGTATGTGCATCAACATGGACAACCTGAACCCTAACCTGGTACACATACTATTTTCAGGTTGTGCAACATCTTGGTGCATATACAACGGGAGCACCCAAAAAACTGCCTGTGGTAGCGTTTTGTATGGTGATGAATCTTTAGAATGAAAATGTGGAATTACTCTGAATGGCTGATATTAAATGAGAATATTATCTTTGAATACAGGAGGTACACGAGACTAATCACAAGACGAAAAATGGATAATCCTGTGTATCGCATATCCCATTTCATATATATATAATATTTATAGTTGAGATTTGTACGAAGCTAATTTTCCACATACCCGAGTGTTCGAGTCGCGTTTTGATACGTGAAATTACAATGCTTGGATACGGTTTAGCTATTTCGCAGTTATATTGCGATTTGACTCTTTTTCTCAAATCAATTTGTCTGGGAATTTAAATCTGGACTGTTAGCCGAACCGGAGGCCATGGTTTTCTTTGCCATATAATTTAGGCCGTCTTATTTTTTTATTACGCATGTTATTAATTCTTTCTTCGATGCCTCGTAAATGCTTTTTGAACAAAATTGCACACGACTTATACTTAAGAAATAAAATGAGCACACAGGTGAATATTTTAAAACTAGGTGATGGCAAATAATACATTTTCGCCACCGAATCTTAGCTTTTTTTATCATCCTATGTTTTAGGTAAATCACATGTTTGTAGTGCCATCGAATTTGCTGCAACTATCACAGACAGAATTGCACCACAAATATGATACAACATCGTGGAAAACATCTATGACTGGTGGTGCGTCAATTCCAATTACAGTATCGAAAGTTGTCATTGATCGTTTCAGCATTAAATTGATCCCAGGTCAGTCGTGAAACACAGCCTAAGTTTTACCGGTGTTTGACGACGACTTTTATTGTCGTTCACTCTTCGAGCTTAATTGAAATTCTTTCTTTATGTAGGGTAGGCTATATATATTAAGATATATATATACTCGCTCAGTCGCCTCTCTAATGTAAAGCTAACTTTCAACATTGCTTTCTGTTAGTGGGTCAACAATTTAACAAAATAGACGGTACCATAAACACTTGCTGGAGTTCACGACCCCTAACTTGAATTCAAAATGACGTAAATTTCTCGATCCTAACATATATATTTAGTTTACGCCATGACGGAATGCTGCCCTATATCTTGGAAGGAAAATGACGACTTGGTCATTGATTCAGCTGGCTCAGTCTGTGTCAACTCTGAAATTATGGTGAGTTTTTCTTCGATTAACAATGGTAGAGTAAAATTATTAAAACATTTTGTAATAAATATGAATAATATAAAAATGGATTTGAATAAAACAAATATATTCCCCAATCCCCACATGCAGATGGAATAAAAAATTAACAATTATTTTCATCTCATTCTAACGTGAACATAATCAGAAAAACCGCGAATAAAATGGGGTGAAAATGAACGACTGATTTCCTAATGAAAAAAGCAAATGGAAAAATTATTCGAAAAAAAGTTGCACTTATATTTGATTATTTGTTGTTTTCCAGATAGTCGATCCAAATACAGATAAAGAATTGAAATCAGACCAGGAAGGTGAAATATGGATAAAAGGCCCACAAGTAATTCTTTTTTCTCACTAGGGAACATACATTCTATTTGAAAACCCTATGTATCAAAACTCGAATACTTCTTCCAATACATATTTTTAAATACCAGTACTACCTTTCCATGAATACCGAACGCTGCCCTAAGATAAATAACAACAAAGATTTAGCAATACGATTCATATTCCCACTTTATGAAACGTTTTAATCTGACAAAGAGAAGAACCTAGATTTCTAAATTATGTTAGATTATCTTTTTTTCAATAGATGACCTCTGGTTATTATAAAAATACGGAGGCAACAGAGCAGACAATTAGTAAGGATGGATATCTTCGCACAGGCGATGTAGGAGGTATTAAGAATGAAAAGCTTTATGTGCTTGGTCGATTTAAGGAGGCTATCAAGTATAAAACTTTACAGGTGAAAAAAATATTCATATTGTTTACTATTTCAAAGTTTTTGGGGTGTACATCCTCGGAGTGACATTGGATTGTTCAACTTTGACAGTATTACTAGTATAGCAGTATTACTATCGCAACTCATCGGTGTTGCTTTGATCTTTATGCCAAACGTCACCATGTGATTCTGATCGGATCTATTATTAAAATTGTTTACAAAGTCATTTATAAAAACAATTGAATAAAAATTAAAATTATTACGATAACTTGCTGCTGAGTTTGGTACCACTGTACACTGGTCATATCCTTTCTTCCGCATTTCTATATTTGCCTACTTTTATTTTATCATTTCTAGGTACCTTCTGCTGAAATAGAGAATGTGCTGTTGAGTCACCCCGATGTTGAAGATGCTGGCGTGGTTGGCGTCCCTGATCCGCTTTGTGGGGAGATACCGAAAGCCTTTGTTGTGCGAAAAGTTAAATCACTTACAGAGGATGAACTTCATAAGTTAATTAAAAGTACAAAATGGAAGCAATTTCACTTCGAATAAAATGTATGATCATAATTTTTCAAATTATTCTTTATTTCAGGTGAACTCGTCGATTACAAACAGTTGAGGGGCGGAATCCAATTTGTCAACAGAATACCAAAATCAAAACTTGGAAAACTAAATCGCGTAGAACTGAAGAAATGGGCGGCGCAAAAAGAGAACTAACTAATTTCTAGATTGCAACTTTAAATTCACTCTTTTTTTTTCATGTCGTTCAAATCATTTTGTGAATGTGTGGGAAAATTATCTCAAAAGTAAACTCTGATTTTCTTGTTATTTTACCGAATTTTCAAAAGTGTATTTTATCCCCGGTATCGAAGCCACGTTGAATCTTTTCCTTTGAGCTATCACGAATTTAGATATATTATGAAACCATTTCACAAAAATAAAACATCAATCAACGTAAAAATTATGTTTGAAGCTTTTAAACTAGGTGGTCTAATATAACCCACAGTTTAACTCTGCAATTACGCACCTAGTGCTATTACTATTAGGATATTTTTACAGCCCATAGTCGACAGCTACACGTTGAATAAGGCAGTGCTCTTCAACCGGGTATACTGTATACCTAAGTGTATACCAGACCATAAGTAGGGTATACAACTGATAAAGGGTATACGAAGGGTATACAGCTGATAAAGGGTATACGAAGGGTGTACTGTCTAAATCAAGAATTCTGAGCTCTAATATAATAAATTGTTCAATTAGAGACAACAATGCAAACGCGGCGCACATGAAATAGAAAATGTGTTTCACGTAATAGACCGACTTGAGCACATTGTTACATCACAAATTATATAGATAACAATGGCACGTGCCTGGGTTGATGATTTCTGCTGCCATGCTCGTCGCTTGATATACGTTTACGACTTGCGGACAGTATCCCACTGGATTTCAGTATCGCCAGTTGCAATGTCTTTGTTGAAATACTTTGGAAATGATAATAATGAAGAAACCGAATCTGTCTCAGCCTCATCGTCTTCAGATAGCTTTCCTTCTGCGAAGCGCCAGAAAACAACACTGAAGAGACGAAAATGGAATGATGATTACATAAATCTCGGATTTTGTCGCCCAAAAGGCGAAGAGGAAAATTGTTATTCATCTGCCCAGTGTCTTTTTTGTTCTACCATTTATGGCAATGTGAATGTTGTTCGATCGAAGCTATTGAATCACCTTATAAAACAACATCCAGAATATCAAAACAAATCTGCGAAGTTTTTTCAATTACATCTGGCTGCGCAGAAAAAACAGAGCAATGCGTTCTATACTCAAATTAGACACCAATCAACTCAGAACAATAACCTATTGTTGGCATCATTGAAGATGTCACATCACATGATGAAAGTTAAACGCCCGTACACAGAACTTGAACGTGTAGTGCTACCTTGTTTAGAAATTGTGGCTGACTTGATTCATGGTGGAACAAAAGCAGTTGACAAGGTCAAAAAATTGCTGTTTCTGACACTACTGTATGGCGACGATGTGCCGTTATATCCGCAGATTTAAAAGAACAACTAACTCAGAAGTTACTAGAAGCCTCCTCCTTTGGCATTCAGTTGGATGAAAGCACTGGTATAGGCAGTGAGTCTCAGCTCATGGTGTTCTGTAGATTTCCGGACATAAAATCTAACAGGATAGTTGAACATTATCTATTTTGTCAACCAGTTGGAGAAAAGGCAACTGCTGAAGCAATTTTCAATAAAATAAACGAGTTCTTTGAAGAAGAAGGGTTAGATTGGTCAAAGTGCAAATCGGTTACAACAGATGGAGCAGCAGCAATGCGAGGCTCACAGAAAGGTTTGATCGAGAGAATTAAGCGAAAGTCTCCAGAATGCATAGGAATTCATTGTATTCTCCACCGCGAGGCATTAGTAACAAAGAAACTTGAACTGAATGCAGGTGACGCTAGTGGTAAAGAAAATGAATTACACGATGTTCTACGGGAGGTCGTATATTTTGTGAATACGATTAAGAAAAGTTCAAAACAAACGAGACTTTTCTCTAAACTATGCGAGGAAACAGCCGCCACTTCCAAAAAACTTCTTTTACATTCAGAAGTACGGTGGCTGTCCCGAGGAAAAGTTCTTTCTCGTGTGTTTGAACTTCGAGAACAATTAGGGGCGTATTACACTGAACGAGGAGACCAAAAAGCCAACAGGTTTCGTAATATATATTGGATTGCAAAATTAGCGTACATGGCGTCGATTTTTGATCGTTTGAATCAAGTGAACGTCAGTCTTCTAGGGAAGGGAGGTGATATATTTCGATCGACTAGCAAAATCAATGCTCTGAAGATGAAAATTCAACTCTGGAAAAATAATGCTTCTTCGGGAAACTTCATTGACTTTCCCTTGTTAAGTCAATATTTGAAAGAGTCTGGGTGGGAGTTTGAGGACGTTTCAACGATAAATACCATGGTTACCCTCATTGTTGGTCATTTAAACTTACTTGGTGATAAATTGGCTTTGTACTTTCCTGAAGATAATGACAGACGTTTAGAAGAAAACTCGTGGGTAATGCAGCCATTTACTAGTGAACCAACAGAAGACGAAGAATTGTTGGAACTCCGGGAGGATTTAAATCAAAAAATTTCATTTCGCGAAATGTATTACTCAGAGTTTTGGGTTTCTCTTTTTGAATTTCCCGAGTACAAAAATCTGGCGGAAAAAGCCATCGCTCTCTCTGGTGCAGATGCCCACGACTTATTTGTGTGAAGAAGGGTTTTCCAGTCTTGTTGAAATCAAGTCAAAAAAGCGAAACTCAATACTTGATATTGATTCACTAATGCGGGGAGCAATTGAAAAAGAACTAAAACCCCGTTATGAACGAATTGCCGAAACTATGCAAGAACAAAGAAGCCACTGAAACTAAATTAACATTGTCTTTACTACGTTTTTTACACATTTGGGTGTTAAATTAATTGCGTCTGTCAGTAAAAACTAAAAGAAGCATTTATAATGACTCGCCCCGCCACTTCGATTTTAGTTTTTATACAATCTGTTCCTAACATTTATTGCTCATTTTAGCTTTAAATAAACATTGGTAATTGTAAGGTATACAAAGTTCTCGTAAAATTGTAAAAGGTATACCACGAAAAAAAAGGTTGAAGAACACTGGAATAAGGCATGATATATAGAATATAGATAGACAATGCTAAATTAGTCTTGGTTCAGGACGATGCCTGAATTTGTAATTCTGCAAGAAGGTATTATAGCTAGCGTTTGTTTTTATGGTAAAACACATTGCGATACATATAAAATTTTCACAATCGACGAGTACATACCGAGCTTTAACATATGCGGATGTGAGATGGGCGATTGTGGGATATTAAAAATTGTCACGGTATGCTTAGTGGCAAAAGAATCAGTGCAATCACTAAAACTCATTGTGCATAAAATAGGTCTCCAATTTGAAAAAATAGTCATTCTTTTTACATAAGCTAAAGAATCTTCTTCAAGTTGACCGAGCCTTGCAGATTGGAGAAACATGCCTAGATTTGCGACAAAAACCGATAGGGTTGGTAACGTGCCCTTCATATACTGTCAAGAAAATGCCTATACCGGCTACTCATATGCATATACAGCTAACTAAATAAACATAAACTGCCATTAAGGTGATGTACAAATGCTGCCAGATCATTTTATAAAAATAGAATTTATGTATGTTCGGTTGTTCATATAATTAGCGCGTTAAACACTTAAGCGGCTTCCTGATCAATACGGTATTAGCGTAGCATACAGGGGTAGGTAGGGCTTTACTTACATGTTGATTGCGCACAATAAGACATAAACCTACTAGTGTGCGCAGTACGTGATAACTATACAATTGTAAGGTACCTATTCATAATATCAGAAAGCCCCACAACAGCTGGTCCTTGATAACATGAAAAATGTGCTGGCTGAAAAAAAAATGTCGGTGAATTATTTTCATTTTTTAGCCACCGGTAATAAACTTTCCACAAACTAATTGAATCAACGCTTTGTGGAAAATAAATATACTATAGGTACCAATCTATGTTATGCTATAGCAACTAACCCCCAAATGTACCCCATTTCATGTTGAAATCATCAAAACAAAGTTAATTTTTCCCAAAATTCGAACAAAGACTTTCGTAGGAATCAAATTACACCAGTTTTAAGAACATAACATGTTCCACCCAGTCATTATCAAACTAAAATTTATATTCTCAAGACCATTGGCACTGATTGAAATAATTATATCTAAGTTCCCATCCGTACGATGTACCTACATAATTACCCTTATTGAGATAATAGGAGTTTCTGTTTATAACGTGAATCACGACCTCACGTTTACAGCATTTAATTAGATGTATGATCGACGTATAAATACGACTGCGATATCTTTCGATATTTACGATGTGAACCATTCTAGGCTAGTGTGGATAAATGTTTTAAGATTTGTATTCTGTGCGTTGTGGAAATTTACGAATAAAATCATATAGAGATTTTTAACGCATCTTCATTCACGTTGAAGCTGAAGGGTGAACGGGCGACTGGCAGTTCTGAGACGGTCTACGAAATAGCGATATACGGTGACATTACATTCATTTACCAATTATATATGCTATAATGCGTCTACACTTGCAACATTCCAGTCATTGCATTTTAATCGCACTGATTAAAATGATTACCATTGTCCATCGGCTACAGTTGAGGACTCAGCACAAAATCGCGCTGAAAGAATACCGTACAGTCCCACTCAAGCGTAGGTGGACCATACAGAAATACAGGGTATATACAAATACAAAGTAATTAAATTTTTGAACAGGACTTTCTTGTTGTTTCACTTAAATGTATAGCACAGTGGTTCCCAACCTTTTTTGGCTCGCGACCCCCCTTGGTGGTTTACACATACCTCGCAACCCCTTGCTTCCCTTTCTATACTTATCCATAAAATAAGCAACAAAGTGAATATTGTGTAATTTACATTTTCATCAAGCTGCAGTTTTACTCAATGTGACGGCTGGCATTGAAGCCGCGTAGCCAACTGCGTAATTCCTGGTTGAGTTTTTGACAAACTATCATCCTCGACTTACTTCGATTTCGTGCCTTTGTTTTTATAAGATTAATAGCTGAAATGTCGCTTTTGCACAAGTACGTTGTGGCAAATAGGTAGCAGAAATCAGAAAGCTAGCTCAGTCAGTTGTGGATAGGATTCATACATGGAGCACCAGAACTAGGCTAGTGGCTCTCGCTTGGTTTTTAAGCAAAAAGCGATATTCTAGAATCTAGGCCGTGTCACGAAGCTAGTACAAATCTCTCGGAGGCATACGAGAGGTCATTCCAGACTTTTTCGCGTTCTATTGTAAATATGAAACCTCAAGCTTCGTATTATTTTCTACTGTTTTGCAAGACCTTCGCGACCTCCCTAGAAACCCGTTGCGGCCCCCAGGTTAGGAACCACTGGGTCACTATAGCAGTATAATTTATACCATTTCCATACCGGTATACATACATATTTGAGGTTTGTCTAAAGCTAATTTGGCATTTACAGCAGTGTTTCGAGTCGCATTCTGATACAGAAAAATTACGATGCTTACTGTCAGTTTATTGTTATAACTAGTCCGTGCTTTCAAGCTTAGTAAACAGCGGTTAAAGTCGAGCGATAACATTTTATGGCAATTAACAGATAACTATATGCAACAGGTATGTACAGATTAAATGACATAAAACAGAATTTACGCACTGAATATTCAGAATAAATGACACAAGATAAAACAAAACTTGCATATCAAATGTTTAGAATCTCCAGGCAACTCAATTCAGCCAAATATAAAATGAATATAACTTAACCTCCGTGACAAAAATATGATAACTTATAAAATATAAGTTTTCATTCTAGTTGACAATATCACACCCCCTGGCCTGCAACCCTACATTTTATTTATTAACACGATAAACTTCTCCTAGCGCAATAAATTACACTGGACACACGCCAGATAGTGCCAACTCGTCGAAGCAGCATGTCAGTAATTTAGAATTCCCGGGATTTATCGAGAAACTCCTGAAGCAAGACTATGCAGCAATATTACTGCGTCGGTACGTTTGCAACGTCTGCGTAACGACGCCGAACGTCATCAAATATATAAATATGTTATGATTCTCGATAACAGTATATTCATATCATAGGCTATCACTTAAATGTTTTATGTGTACTGTACAGTATAATGCAGGGTCGTCCAACCTTTTTGGCCGAAGGGCCACATGTAGTTCACTAATAATTGCGCGGGTCACTCAACATGGTAATTATGTTCTGGTTTTGCTACACTGACTACAGATTAATGAAAAAACAAAACAATACCCTCACACCAAACTTTTACAATTATTAGGACAATAAAACTGTGGTTATTCCCGTAGTTCCCAAATTAATGCCTCTAGTCGTAACAGTGGCGGCGCGTGGTCATTTTGACAACCGGGGCAAGCTACTGCGGGACCAAGTCACCCCCCATCTACGGGGACAGGATGAGCGCTGTAAGTTTTCCCATCATTTTATGAGTATAAAAACCATTCCATCGGTAACAACCAATCGGCAAAAGCGATTTTTAACGATGAGAAAGTGTCTTTAAAACCGGTCCAAGTCAAGGGATTAATAAATATAGACATAGTTTATTTTGAAACCTCTTTCAAAAGGAAAGGCAATATTTATCCAGATAAATACAATGACATATTAACAGAAACTTCGGGAAAGCAGACAAAACCTAAAATAAGGTTTAAAACGTTACTATGAAGAAAGGAAAGTTAATGCAAAGATAAGGACATGCGTCGCTCACTCATAGATATATATGCTGCTAGACTTCTAACTGCTTGAACATATATGCAACACGCCGCGGTTTTCTTGGAAGCAAATGCTCAATAACGCGCTGATTAAAGTCATGCATCCCAGAAATAACGTCTCTGTGAATGGATAAAACAGCCAAGGAATTTAATCTATCTTGCTTCATTGTGTTTCTGAGATACGTTTTAATACGCTTCAGCGTGCTGAATGTTCGCTCTGCGTCGGCGGAAGAAATAGGCGTCGTCAAAATGATGTCCAGTAATTTGGCAGACGCCGCAAAGGTAGTTACTAGAGTGTTATCTATGAGGAACCCCATAGAGCGCGCAAGTTGATGTGATGTTCAAAAAAGTTTGATTGGTGTATATACATCGCAATTCATTTTCCAATTTACCCACGTTTATCATGGGGTAAAATTTGGAGACAGTAGCCAACAAATGGATGGGAAATTGACGTTCAAATTTTGAAAATATTTTGGGGTTCATCAAAGAACGCGGCAAGGTGTTCAGTGCGCAGACGATCGCCTATTTGATTCACCAGAATGTCACAGCATTCCTTTGCAGACAAAATCAAACGCTGCGTTGTTTACCCGCGACGTAAAGAAGCACTCCATGTGTCGTCGTATTTTATTGTTTCCCGGATACGAGATACAGCATCGCAGAAGTCTGAAATACACGACTGCACAGACGCTCCATCCATTAGCCTTGACTGCAATGCGCCGTATAATACATCCACGTGATAGAATATTGTGGAGAAAAAATGAAAACTCACCATCTTCTAGCAGACGCTTTAGACCTGCCGCCTCCCTCACAGAGCGTTCGTCCCAAACCGGAGAGCTCTGAATGCCATTGAAACACTCAATGAGCTCAGACCTAATTTTAGACACGCCCTGCACCACGCGTGATTGGAAGTTCCAACGTGT